CTGTAAGTTATCTGACAAAGAATAGCTTAATGTACAAGAATATCAAAAAGAATACCTATAAAAAAAAAAAAACACATTTATTATTTATCAAAACATTTTGGTTTATAATTAACAATCTTCCTTTCTTTCATGTTTGCCCATTTTACAAATGCTTCTTGAAAGTTAAATGCACTTTCAGGGCCCTCAATATTAATCATTAACAAATTGTTTACATGGTTGATTAACAACCTGTTTCGAATATTAGTTTTAATCAAATTAAGGCAGCTAAAGCCCCTTTCACAGTCAACAGTGTGCATTGGTATTGTTGCACAATACTCTATAACAGAAGTTATTAATGGGTACTGTTCAGACACATCATTGGTATATAAAAATAAAAGTAATTCATTAAATGACATGTTTTTACATCGTTGCATTAAGATGTGTTTAAATAATCCCCATTCACAAAGTAATTCAGTTTCTGTAAAAATAGATATTTAGATTAGATATTTAGATTTTTTTTTCCTTGTTTGATCAAGTTTTTTTCATGGCTGTTAGCGTCATGGTTTTTCGCGAAAGCTTTTTTTAAAATGGAATTTAGTAAAATCCTTTAGCAAAAATGCGAAAATGCATTTTAGCATTTTTGAGGGGTCTTTTCGCATTTTGCGAAAAAAGCTACCGTAGCGGAAACCCTGGGACGGGTAAAAGTTTTGAGTTTTTTCGAGCCCTGGACAGTATTATGATTTCTGGCATTATGGGCCGGTAATTTTGCTCACAATTTCTAAAAATGTCAAAATTTTTATTTAAATTATGTTGTAATTTGTACTTATTAACAGTTGTCTTTATTAGACAATATTCTTTTGCTTTCATAATATTGCTTTTATAGGACTCTTCTCGTGGTAGCTATGAAGAAAATGTGGATTCTGATGACAGTTTACCGCCACCAGAAACTCTTGATTATTCCTCGCAAGCAGCACATATGCAAGAAGTTTTAAAAGAGCACATCTTCGGCATAACTGATGAATATAACCATATACCCAAGTTACCCATAAAACTTAATCAAAATTGCCCTCCTAATATATTGTATGCTTCTGTTGATTATTTGTCCAAAAAGCAGAAACATATTCCATGCCAAACAATGACTGAACCTCCTAAAATAAGGCTGGAAAGAAAAAAATATGCACCTGACTGTTGTTTAACTCCATCCACAATTAGTACAACATCAGAACACAGATTTTCAGAAATGGACTGCCCTTCTTGGAATCATTCGTCTTCTAGAATCGGTTCTGGATTAGTTGATGTTGAGACTCCTACTAGTCCTGAGTTAGAATCCTCTTTTCCCGCAATATCTTCTCAAAACGTATTGGAAGATGATTGCTTAAGTCAAAGACAATCCTTTTCTGTCCCAGAACCACATGTAAGTAACACCTTACTGTAATATTCTTAAATAAAAAAAAGATTTAAAAATAATTTCAGAATATATTAACTGTTTTTAGTAAATTGTATGAAATTTTTTTAAAGGTATTAAAATATTTACTTATTTTCTATTCTAAATTTTATTTAAATTTTATATATCCTGCCTTGTTTGATCTGAAAAAAATTGATAATTTTCAGATACATAACATCTGGTACATTTTCATTTAACTTCTAGTATTTAATAAAATTTTATTAAAATATTTTAAATTCAAAAATTATATTTTTTAACTACTCTAGTTTTAACTTTGATAAAGCTGACCATTTAAAAGTGTAACCAACCAATCAGTATATATGAGTACATCAACTATTGATATACACATACAAAGCATATGAAATTAAATAAGCACAGTGTTTTTTTTTTTTTTTTTAGTTTCAAAACTTTTTTTTAAAATATGTGGGATACTAATCAATTTTGTTGCAAGAAGAATATTTCAATTTTATTTCTAATTATTAACATTCATCTGGTAGTGTTTGATAAAATCTAAGTATCTTAGTTAATTCATATTCTTAAATAAAATTGATTATTTTTTTAAAAATAAAAATTCAAGTCATATATAAATTTATTCTTAACAATGTTACAAAATTTGATTTCTATTTGCTTTACATCTAAAAAACTATTTTGTAAACCATTTAAAAAAAGTTTTATTTGAAAAAATTAGTTTTCTTTATAAGATCCTTTCAAATCTGTAAGTATTTCTCCCATAAAATCAATGCTGTGTTTTTTTGGAGGGATCACTTATTACAAATCCTTTGATCTACCTAGTATAAAAATATCTAGTCTCTTGAAAAATAAATAATGTTGATGTATGCTTGATGCTTATAGGTATGAAAATGGATAATTAAAAAATAAAGCTGGGGTTCAAATAGAGTTTTTATTTATTTATGTGATAAAAATTTTTTTTAACATATATTATATTTTTTTAAAAAAGAAAAGCTCTAACAAAAATAAGGCAAACGCTATTAATATTTTATCATACTAAAATAATTGTATAAAAGTCATATTGAATGTGATCTGTAATACTTTTCTAATTATTTACCTATAAGATAAGTTGTTTTTGACAATGAAAGCCTGTGCCTAAGTTTTTTTCAAAAATATTTACTTAAACTTAATACGCCTGATTAATGTTTTTTTAATCTCTCTTAAAAATTTCTAAAAAGGAAACCAGTCTGCTCGGAAACTACAGCCGTCATTTATCAAATTGGAATTTTTAACGTTTTTGGCACAATTTTCGAGAAATAATTTTTCCCCTCGCATTTGTGTATTAGCATTTCAGAAAAAAAGTGCAAATTTTGTAATTTTTCTTTAAAAACTTTTAAAATAAACAGCTGTAAAAGATGCTTGTGTTACATTTACTGTATTGGTATAACTATTCTAAATGATTGTTTGCAATATCTTAACTACAGTTGTGTAAACACAGTACTAAATTACTATAAATAATCCTTTTCTTTAAAAATCATTATTTATGTTTAAAAAAGATCTATGTTTATGTAATTTTAAAAATAGTAAAAAAAAAAAAAGAATTATTTCATAAAATTTAGCAATTGAAAGAAAAAAAAATCTATTAAGTACTACATATATTGAGGATAATGAATAAGCTGAAATTTAATGATTAAATAAAAGTTTTTTTAGTTTTTTTAAACCATGATTGCTGTTTTTTGTACTCATCATTTTTTTATGTTTATTTATGAGTAACTGTCGGTTAAATGTGTTACTTTATTTTTCTAGGATTGCCAAAGTGAGTGTTTATGCCATATAGATCAAGCATATCTTCAATCTCATGTACCAAAATCTCATAAAATTCGCCCTCTTACTGCTCCAAATGCTTGTGTATCTGATTTAGAAAGACTTAAATTTCTTGAATCAAGCAATCACAATCATAAACCTGATAAAAATGTTATAACTCTTGAAAATTTTCCATGTTCTTTGAATTTATATGGAAATCACATTTGCCATCAAGATGAACTTCACGATTATGCTGAAATCTACACTCCAAATAAAGAATGTATTGATTTTTACACCAATAATGATGGCTGTGAATCCACTACAACTAATGAAGCAGTTACTTGTACAAAAGCACCAACTCCTCCTCTGCATCGTTTTCCTTCCTGGGTAAGATACCAGGGTTAATACTTAAAAAGGAGAAATTTTTTCCCTTACTTTTCCGTGTTTTCCAGGTAGATTTACCTAAAATTCCAAAATAAGTAAATAAAAATAAAAAATCAGCAAAATTTATGTTTAATGAAATTTATAAATAAAATTGCAACTCGTAAGAAAGCAATAAATTACTTTTAATTAAAAAAAAATTAAATGATTTAAATATTGTCAACTATGATAAGAAACAATAAACTGTGACTGAAAGGAAAAATAAGACTAAGGAAATTAATGGGGCAACATCACCTCTCTCTCTATTGCATATATAAACTGCTGTTTGTAGAAAATGCAACACCATGAAGGAATCATCAGAATCAAATGAAATTCGCAGCAAATGTCAATTATAGGATATTATGCAAATTAATAAAGTTTCAGAGCCATCGCGCGTGCGTGGCGCGCGCAGCGCCCTCTGAATTGATGCTGAAAGCGTATAAATAAAGTGCTGTAGCGGGACGTTGAAAATAGTCTATGATTATTTGTTAGTGGCAAACGTTTAGTGAGACCTGAGTATGCCTCCACGACGGAAGAATAAGAAATTCAAGCAACTTACGGAGTTTGAACGAGGGAGGATAATCGGCCTTCGAGAAGGAGGATTTTCCTATCGCGCAATAGCAGCTCGTATGCAGCGGAACAGTTCCACAGTGATGCGAGTTTGGAAGCAGTGGACCGACGAGCACCGAACAACTCGAAAAACAGGCACTGGACGACAGAAGGTGACGTCAGAGCGCGATGATCGACACCTGCTCCGCATGGCGGTGAATGATCGCACAGCTTCCTCCAGGCAGCTGGCAGCACATTGGTCTACTGCTACAGGTGTACAATTGTCGGCTTCGTCAATTCGTCGTCGTCTGCTGCGCCGTGGATTGCGTGCAAGGGTGCCATTATACAGGATTCCCCTCACGGCGGATCATCGACGGCTGCGTCGGCAGTGGGCTCTTGAGCACAGAGACTGGCGAGCTGATTGGCACCAAGTTGTCTTTTCAGATGAATCACGCTTCAATTTGTGGACCCATGATGGCCGTGTTCGTGTTAGACGTTATGCCGGTCAACGCTGCCTTCCTGAGTGTATTATTGAACGACATAGTGGTCGAACACCCGGAGTTATGGTCTGGGGTGCGATTTCGTATCATGGACGATCCAATTTGATACGAATTGAGGGTAATCTCAATAGCAACAGATACGTCCGTGAAGTGCTACAGCCCGAAGTCGTTCCTTTCCTTCAAGGCATCCCTGGAGCTATCTTTCAGCAGGATAATGCACGCCCACATGTTGCGCGGACTGTTAGAGACTTCTGTTCAGCACAACGCATGCAACTTCTTCCTTGGCCTGCTTATTCGCCGGATATGTCGCCTATTGAGCACGTGTGGGATATGGTTGGTCGGCGTCTCACTCGTGATCCGCGTCCTGCAGTTTCCAAAGACGAACTTTGGTTGCGCATACAAGCGATATGGAATTCTCTTCCTCAAGCAGATATTCAACATCTGTTTGACTCCATGCCACGTCGTATAGCAGCACTTATTGCAGCGCGTGGTGGCTGCACCAAATACTGATTTCGGACGCTTAATTTGTTTCTTTTGTTTTGAAAATTTCATCATTTATTTGTATCAGTACAAGTCGTTTCTGCATTAAATTTCATTTGATTCTGATGATTCTTTCATGGTGTTGCATTTTCTACAAACAGCAGTTTATATATATATATATATATGTGTGTGTGTGTGTAGATAGATAGATAGCATCAATACTGATTCAAGTTAACTCAGATTAAGTGGAAAATAATAATGAAAAATTAATATTTTTGCCATTTAGAGTTGCCCTTTATGTAACTAAATTTGCAAAATTACCTGTTTTAATCTTTGCAAGAGTCCATGCCATCTTATAAAATATGTTTTAATGATATGAACGATGTTAGGGTCTATAAATTTGTTGTAGAGCTCTCTGTTGCAAAGTATTCACTATGTGTTATTTTCATCGGTAGGGCCATAAATTTCCCTCAAAATTTTTCTTCCGAAGATCAGTAGTATATCTTTTACTCCCTTAACTGTTAGTGTCCAACACTCACAACCATATGGTATTATTGATTGAATTAGAGTTTTATAAATATTGATGTTTGTTGCTCATTTGCGTAGTTTCGATATTAGTATTTTTTTTAGCCCATTAAAAGTTCTATCATAATGTGATTATTGATTTTTGCTGTTATGTCATTATTTTGTTAATGTTCCAAACCAATTTTCTGATGTAATTCTTTTTAATTCAATTAAATTCAGTGGAACATGTGAATATTTTATCTTTCTCCTTTTTATTATTTCCATCTTATCTTTTCAAGTTTATTTTACTTTTGCAAAATTTTTAAAATGTTGTCGAATTAGTTCGGTCCGTTTTTTTTTGTGGTCAAAAATGCATTTATTTTTGAACAAAATGAATGAACAGATTAATCAAAGTATTGTCCATCCCTGGTTACTACTTTCCCCCACCTCTCAGGTAATTTTCGAATTCCATCTTGAAAAAAATGTCTCGTCTTTTGAGGCGATTCAAGTTAGGGGCCGATTTTCAATTTCTGTGAAAGAAGTGAACCGGTGACCTGCCAAATTGTGCTGCATCCGTCGGAACAGCCAGTAATCAGAAGGAGTAATGGCCAGTGAATAGGGGGGTTGCGGTAAAATATCCCACTTGAGCATTTCCACATAATTTTTTTCGGCGTGTGACTGACCGTTATCATGCAGAAGAATGACTTTGTCATGTCTTTGCTCTTATTCCGGCTGTTTTTCTTGTAATGCATGAATCAATTGTAGCCTATACCGATCGCCCATAATGGAATCCCCAGGATGTAGCAGCTCATAGAACAACACAATTCACCATTCTTCTTTCACCATTCTTGAAACGTGGAAACTATTCCCTACATGATTTATCAGTTGTAGCATTATCACCATAAACTTCTACAAGCATTCAATGCGCTTCAGCTGCACTTTTCTTGCAATTAAAGCAGAAACATAAAACCTCCCGCAAATGCTGCTTAGTTACCATAAAATTTGACATATTCAAAAAAGTAAAAAACAGGGTTTTTGTATGAAACTAAAAGCTATATAAACTGAATATTATTGATTGGTGTCTAACCTCTCTGAAACCACCAAAACCAGCTGACACAATGAAACATTCATTACAGCCAGAACCATCGTTTGAAAACGGACCGAACTAATTTGTACTCCCAATACATATGTATACTAATATCTTTCATGACTGTGACATAGATTTGTATTCGGATAATGTGGATGTAATTTTATAGACTGATGAAGCATGGCATTTTTATGAATTTAATTTATTCTCTTAACTATGTATCATGACTGGATTTAAATAGCGGACACTTTTTAACATTGATGGCTTAATTATATTTTATCAAGAAACTTGGACAGTATTATCATAATCTGAATATTCTTTATGTTCTTTTAGGAGTCCAGAATTTATGATGTTGCCTTAAGTGGAATAAATGTACCAATTGATACCTTTAAGGCACCTCTGGCTGGTATGTTCTATCAAACTAATTTATGTAATTTTAACTTCTGATGATATGTAAAATAGTGCAAATTAAATTGAATTCCAGAATGTGCTGAATTTGGAATCAATTTATATTAAAAGTTGCATATTCAAATCGTTATAGTTATCTATGTTACTAAGTGCTAGAAGTACTCCTTTCTGACAGTAGCATGCCTTTACAATAATTTTTCATACTTTTAATTTATCTCAGGATTATTTTAAAAAAAATAGCAACTAGGATGTCTTCATCTTTGCCAAAAATTAAATTACTATTTTTCAATAACAATTCAGTCATGAGGGGAGTATTGAAACTATGTAAAATATTGCTAACAAAACTATATATATTTGAATATCCTTATATTAGGTGGACCAGAAAATGTCATTTCGGTGCATTAAGACTGATGAATATTTATTACGCCAAAAGGACATTACTTTCCAGTCTACCTAATATACTGTGAAAAAACCAACCTTTCTGTGGCTTTTACAAAATCTATTCCAATTAAATTCTATATGTATTAGTTTCATAAACTACCATGTATAAGCACAAAAATGTATTTCTTAAAAAACATTAGTTTCTTTGCTGTTTGTTTCTCAATATCTAGTAATTTATTATTTAAAATTGCTATATTTCAAGTTACTCTCACAGCAATGTTGTTCAAAAATTTACCTGAATCTAAATGTGATATTGTAAAGTATTATGAACTCACAATATTAATGTATAATATATNTTAAATTAAAGTTTCTGTATATATATATATATATATATATATATATAGAAAAGTAACGTACTATTTACAGAACGTAAAAAAAATATAGCCGTGATTAACTTTTGTTCTTGTGATTGAATCTCAAATTTAGTGTCAATCTTAATGATTTGAATGGATCGCTTCAAATATGTTATTAATTAATGCAGACAATATATTAAGTTATGAAATTTGACACATAAGTATAACTTTTTCTGAATAAGAATAAATTTTTTTTAAGAATTTAATTTTGACCTTCAAAATATGAGAGTAGCCACATTCTCAAAAATATAACCCAAATAGTTTAGTCAGGAGAAAGGTGGAAGCTTAGGGTCTCTTAATGATAATTTTTCTTTTGACATATTTTACAATACTTTGAAAACTCTTGAAGGTCATCAAAAAAGTTTTGCGTAAATTAAAAAATCGTTTGTCTAAAGATAATTCCAGTAAGGGATGGATTTTAATTTTATTTTATTTGTTATAAATTTATTTAATAATGTTCACAAAATTTTTAATTGTATGGTTTACAAATTTTTACACTGTTTACAACTATGTAGTTTTAAATAACTGAAATTTTATTACTCAGAAACTGTTCGACTTATTCTATAGAGATAATTTTGTTTTTTGTCATATAAAATCTATAAATCCTTATTAAAAATTATTTTCACTTGGAATAATGTTTGGATAAATGAATGTTATAATTTTTGAAAATAAAATTTTAAAACAAAAAAGGAAATTAGCATTAAGATGTTAACGCACTTTTGTACCTATAATTTCTACTATAATAATTAATTGGTATATTTTAGGCCATCTCCATGAACCATAAACAGCCGTATTCTGAACTTTTTCCATAATCTCAAATTTCGATGCATGTTCAAAAGAATTTGCATTTTCGAACAAAGATAGACTTCATAGTTTCGTTTTCATAAAAGTTTTTAAAGCCATAGTTCTTCAAACTATGGTTTTTCTTGAGTAGATTTCCAATCAGGAGCTTGAACAACCATCTGATTGGTTCTCCACATTACATTTTCTTATGCTGTCTCTCTTATGCAGTGGATACCATCCTTATCTACTGCCGCACGTAAATATTGAAGGAAATATTTGATAGGGAAGCTGCTCCATAGTTAACCAGACAAATATATGTTAATCATACATTGCAACTGGTAACGTAACTATCTAGTGCAAACCAGGTTCGACGGAAAGAGGAGCTGATCAGTTGTGGTATAGGCAGGGGATTGGCACAAATAGATTTGGATGATCTACAGCTTGCTAAAATGTTCTTATTATTTTATACTGTTTAAATTTTTACATAATCTATGTTTATATGTATTTATCTGTATTATCTTTTTATTAAATATGCTTGTTCTATTTTTTTTCTAGATACTTCCAATAATAATCAAGCTAAAAGTTCAACTGATACTAGTAATTCTAATGCTGCTTTTACAGAACTTAGCATCCCTGTATATGCTACAGTGAATGGGGTAAGAATGTATTGTTATTTTTTCTTTTGCTATAATGTATGCTTAAAAAATGTTAAAGAAGATAATAGAATAGAAGATAAAGAAATAGTTAAAGAAGTCAAAATAATATATTGTCTTTTTTTTAAAAAAAAAAAAAAAAGTCAGTATGTTCCAAGTTATCTTTCTAATGCTTGACAAGAAAATATAAAATTTTCTTTAAGTAAAAATTTTTTTTTCCTCCTTCAGTTTTTCTTATTGTTATCTGATTAGCTTGTCTAAAATGTTTTACAAAGCTGTTAACATTTACAGAGCAACCGTAGTTTCTAAAAAATGCAAGAAATTTTTTTTGAAACCATAATAAGCTTTAAAATATATAGAATCTGCATTTTTCATTTTAAGAATCTCCTTTATTCATTTTACTGAGTTATACTTTAACAGTCACATTTAAGTAGTTTAATAATTAAAAAAAAATTTGTGAATAAGTTTTTCCAAGAGTTTATAAAAATTCAAAGTTCATGAAGATTAAAATTTTTTTCTTACTGAATATTAATTTAAGGCAAAGATTTCTACATTTTGTATATAAGTTTCCTTTGAGCATATACACTACCCTACAATAAAGGAAGAGACACTTTCAGTTTTTGATCATTTTTTTAAAAAATTTGTCAAGAAATGTCTAAAGAAATATTTTGTAACTTTAGAGCATTAGACTTTTCATACTTAGCAAAAAGGTTTAAAACTTTCAGAGGTTTGGAAGATCTACAATAAATTATGAAAGAAAGTAAGTTTTTTTTAAATCCCTTATGCCAGGAAATCAAGCAAAAATCATGTCATTATATCAATTACTTTAGTTGTTATTTTTAATAACTGCATTAAGTTTTGTAAACCTAGAGTAAATATTTATGCGTTTTCATTTACATGTAATACATTACTGTTAGGTAATTATTATTTACTAATTTAGAGTAATATCAGAAGTGCATTAATATCCATATATTTATTATAAAAAGCATGAATACTAATAGAATATTATGAATAATTAATTTAATATATTGAATAAACAAATTACTGAACACTGAAAAATTGTTTGAATACAGTTGAACAATTTGAATCTTCATAAATCTTTTTTTTTTTTTTTAACTCTTGGGAAAAACTTACATTCACAAAAATTTTTAAATAATTATAAAGTTACTTCTTAAATTGTCTGTTCCAAAAGTATAGTTCCTAAAAGATGAATTGGGAACATTCTTGAAATGAAAAGTGCAGATTCTCTATATGATTTAAAAGTTATCAGAAAAAGGTATTTTATGTATAAAAGGTTTATCTATAAATTAAATCTGATCCCTTTCTTGGTCTAAGCTTTATTCGATACAGTTCTATTCTTCTATACTGTTCTTTTTCTTGTTTCATTGTCAGGGCCACTTTTTTATACATACTTTTGATTTACTTTTCTAAATTAGACCAAGAATTGTTTTTAATAGTTACAAATTTTGTAGTAAGCTCTAATTACAATATCATTTGCTGTAGTCACAGCTTAAGTTTTGACACGAACATGTTTTCAATACCTTCAAAGCTTCTGTTATTTGTCTGATTCTGTTATCAATTATCATCACAAATTAGTCCTATATACTATTGTGGGATGATATTAGCTAATTTTAGACAAATAAATGATAATATTGTAGAAACTGGCATTATAAAACTGTTATCAGTATGGGACGAAAGCTCTGAAAAAAATGTTTATTTTAAAACTGTTTATGTTGAAAGCTCATGATCAAAGTTTGCAGAAAGTTCTAAAAAATAGTAAATGCAAATTAATAAGTTTATTTTTAGGAGTTAAAAAACTTTTTTATTCTCAAAAATATTTATCAATATTTTATCTTTGTAAAAGCAATATTTTAAGGAAAACATTACTCTAATTTTAGCGAGCATCTCAAATTAGATCTGTTCCATTTACTGGGGAGTCCTCTGATTCTTCAGATAATGAGGACACCAGGGTAACTATGATTACAACTTCATCTCAAACTACTAGTGGTGACACAGAATCTTCAACATCAATTGGGGCAAATGCTGTTGATCACAGCCCAGTCGATAAGAAAGTATTTATGCATTGTAGAAAGTTGTCGAACTCTACTCTTCCTCCATGTCCAACATCCTCCACAGTATCTAAATACCATTCAACTACATCCTCTCCAATGAAACAAAGAGGTAATGTAAACTGAACATGTTTAATATCATTTTCCTTTTAGAATTTTTTTGAAGCCTGAAGCTATATTTTTATCTTTAAAACAAAGATTTCCGTAAATTTTTTTTTTTAATTTCCTATTTTAAAATGAGATTGAAAACTACACATTATATTGCGCTGTTCTACATCTAAATTCATTCGATAAAACATGACAGAAATTTCCTTTCTTTCAAGTTTGTATTGTATGTAATTTTGATTTAATAATTTATGTAATTGTAAATTTGAATTATGTATCCATTTTAGTTATTTTGTTTAACTAATATTTATTGCATTATAAAAACTGGAATATTTCCTTAAATTATGAACCTCTTTATAAGTGTCAAATGTTTTATATTGTTATTAATATTGCAAGATTAATTTTCAATCCCTTATAATACTGTAATTTTGCAGAGATACACTGCCCTGGGATGTATGCCACACCTTTAAAAGTTGACTAAGAAGGAAAAGTTTTTCATCAGAAAGGTGTAATACACCGTTCAAAATTTAACTGCATGATCGATTGTGGTGTTAACAGATCTGATTTAAAAAAACAAGTTATCTACAAAATAAATTATTTGACCTTTAAAAATCATTAAAATAATTATTAAATATACTATAATAATCTATGCAATCTTACTTAAAATTAAAAACTATGTATATTTCTATTATTTTAATCATAAATTTTTAAATGTAAGCAAAATTGTACCATATATAATTAATTGTACGCAGTTGAAATGTAACACAATCATAAACACATTATAGTAATAAATACCAATTTGAAATACTTGAATTTTTTGTAAACCAAGTTATTAAGAACCTAAATATAATTAAATTAAATTAACAGAATACAATAAAGTGACGAAAAGAGTCTTAATTGACGCAAAATTGTACCATATAGAACAATTGTGATCGCACCATGTTGATCTATCGTAATTTGATTTGAAATATCTAAATATTATAAAATCAATTTATTAAACAGCTAAATATCCTTACGATACTTCAAAAATAATTAAATATTTTTAATGATAATTAAATAAAATAAAATAAATTTTGTTTTGCACAAAATTATACTATTAAAATAATCACAAACATATCTCGTTTCTTTTTACAAATTTTAATTTTCTAAAATTTTAACCTATCAAATGATAAACAGCGGAGAACTATTAAAATAATTTTTAAAAAAATAGATTTAAAAAATAAACTATCTCGTTTCGCACAAAATTAAAGCATAAAATGATTGTGAACACATTATTTATTTTACAATTAATTTATAATATACCAGTTGACAATTTTTGTAAAAAAAATGACAATTTGTATCAATTGTTTTGTATATATTTTTTACATATTTTTTAAAAAAGAACATATTCCTTCAACAGCCTACTTTTGGTAAAGGGGTCATGGAGAATAAGGCTCCACAATTATGTGAGTAATGGCATAATTGTGACAGTTTGTTTACCATTGTGAACAAGCTGCTATTATTTCTACAGCAAGCTGGTACCCATTAATCTGAAGCTGAGTCAGCTTTAACGACGTGATAAAGGCCATGGAGAAACGAAACACAGTCTTTCACAATGACAGCTCAGTGTCATAACTACTGTACCATTGCTGTTCTTATATAAATCTTATTTATTAGAAATGCTATAAACAAAAGATTTTAAACTTTATCATTTATATTCCTGTCTCTCAAATTTATGCTTGTAAATTGCATGAATTTCAAATTTTTTCTCCAAAAAATCTAGTTAATTTCTTTATAACGTAAATAAAATTTCATTAATTTTTTAAAAGCATTGTTTTAAGCTCAAATCAAAATTTCTCTTGGAGAAACTGTACTTTATTTTTTGTGTACATACTATATGGAGAATTGTTTAAAAATTTAGACACTAATTTAACCATTATTTTTAGAGTTATCTAGTGAATCTATTTTATCTGATGATTATGCTGTTCCTCCTGATGCTGTATCCATTGATGAAATTAGCATGACAGACAACCGTCCTAGTCTAAATAATACTCCAACATTTTACCGCAAAATTATTAACTGTGATGATTCAATAAAAAAGGTACTAAATGATCCAATACTTCCTACCATTTCTGTTGTTTAGTTTGTGTCTCATATGTGAAACAATCTAATTTTCTCTTATTAGGAAACTCTTGAAAAGTGTGGTTTTCTAACTAAACTTGGAGGAAAATTTAAAACTTGGCGTCGAAGATGGTTTGTGTTGCGCAATGGGACTCTCAGTTATTATAAATCTCAGGTACTGTTTAGTTTATTATCATATTTCAAATTCAAAAATCTATTTTAATAGGTTGTAACTTTCTAATGAATTCTTTTTGCTTTTATTTATGTTGTGGGACGTAGCCTAACTATTTTTTTATACCTAAATTTTTTTTAGCTCAATATACGTAACTAATTACTGTTGTACCATAATCTATATTTTACAGACTGATGTAAATAGAAAGCCTCAAGGTCAAATAGTTCTGGATGATGTTTGCCGTGTTAATCGAGCTTATGATGCTGCTACATTTGAAGTAGGACATGTTTAATTTTTGCACATTGTTCTTAGTGCTTTTGATTATGTTTTAAACTTAAACTTGACAAATAACGTAATTTCGCTGAGATGGGCCACCCTGTTATGTATGTCCAACCTGCAAAAATAGACTAAAATAAAAAAGCTTTTCATCAGATATGCTGTACTGAATTTTACTATACTGACAAAGGTTTTGATTACAGACTTAACACATTACTTCTAAATATGCATAGATATAAATAATTTAAATAAGTAAATAAAAACCATTGAAAATGTATTAATATACACAAAATACCTAAGCTTACTGACAAAAACCATGACTAGTGGAAAAAACAGATTTCATAGACAAAACGGGGAAAGCAAACTTTTGCTTTATGGCCAACATCATCACCGGCACCACCGTGATTTTCTTTATTCATTCCTTTCTGATTTTTGCTTCTCCACTTAATGCTCGTTCCCTATACTCAATAGCTGTTTGCATCTGCCTGACAGAAAGGAAAGAGACATGATTTTCTTGCCGAAAGCGATTCCCAGAAAGGATGCGAACGACCATGGGGGAATAATTCCACGTCCATTGACCATTTTTTAGTAACATTAGACATAATAAAATTTATAAAAAGCACCAGCCTCAAAAATGCAATTTTTAAAGTAGGAAAAAATAAGTACCATCATATGTAGTGTCTCATTAGATTAATCTTCCTGCCAAATTTTCATGTTTTAAATTAATAACATCGTGGCATATCTCTGCAAAATTACGGTATTGCAAAATTTTCTTATGAAAGTTAAGTTTAAAATCATATTTTAATAGATTTCAACTGGAAAAAGAGTATACTATCTAACAGCTGACTCTATAAATATGATGGAAGAGTGGATAAAAGGTATTAAAAAAATTAATTTTTTAAAAATAATGCAATAGTTTCATTGTCAAGGATGTATTTATATAAATATTTTGTACTAATTACAACTAATTTATGCTTAAATACAAGATTCTTTAAATTTAAAGGAAAATCTTTGTATTGAATTGCTGTTATTTATTGTTTACTGTTTTTATTGCTGTTATTTATTGTTTACTGTTTTTATTGCTGTTATTTATTGTTTGCTGCTTTTATTGCTTTTAATTGAAATTCAAAATGTTTCTGTCAGATATTTAGAATTCAATAGGTGAAATCATACCTCGATATCTTATAGTTTTACCTCAAATTTTTATTCTTTACATATTTCTACAAAAGTTAATTTTGAATAAAATATTTTATTTGATTAATGGAGATTGTGTGAGTATATCCATCGTTGAAACTAGTTTAAAAATACCAGCTTCAAAATCAATTATCTTTTTCATTATTTTATAAAAATTTTTCAATGACTACATGATTTGATTACTGTGCTATATTAGTAATTCATGTTGCTGCAATATGAATTACAAATGTAAGATCTAGAGTTTAAACTCGCCCAAGTTAATTGTTTTAATTCTACATATTTACTGTACTAGCCTGCTATTACATGAACTCCTTTTAATGCAAAAATCAGTATTGGCGATTACTGTGGTTACGAAGATAATTCATTGTGATTCATGATCATTAAATATTTACTTGCTCAGCTGCACATGCAAGAGTAAAAAATACAAATCTGATAAAAGTTTTTCTATGTCACTGGCATGTAGGTAATATAATTTTTGAGCTGATATGTATGAAAATAAATCTAAATGATGAGAATGAGCACAAATCTAACCACAAAAACAAACATAATCTTTCAATTCAATTATCAAGAACCTACTTCAATGTGGTAACACAGAATGAGAGGAGGAAAATTTCAGATGCAAAAAAAATTACAAATATAGCACAAATTTTGCCTTTTATTCATTTATTTTGAGATTCTAATAAAATTATTTCTATTTTTTTAGTACTACAGAATGTGTTGCGCCAAAATGCCACTAAGCTATTATTGACTAAAGATGATAAGCCTACTATTGAAGGCTGGTTGACTAAGGTAAGTTAATTTTATTAAAAATTTGATATGGACTACCTTACTCAGGTCACATTTATATGCAAGATATTTAAAGAGCTTAGCAGAGATAAGTATCAACGTAAAATATGGCCAAGTATTACATTAACAAAATTTTAGGGTCAGCTGTATGAATTAAAACTTAATATTTTTTACCAAGCCAATAGTATGGTTTTTTGTAGAAATTTTTTATTACCAAGTCACTAGTATGATTTTTAAAAGAGAATGTTTTGTTTACAGTTAACTTAGTGTTATATTTTCTAAAATTTTTCATAAAAATCTTTAAAATGTTATTTAGAATCTTCTTAAGATATTTGTTTCTTCATTTATTATAAGTTTTAGAGAATTTGTTTTAGCTTTTATCTGTCATAAATCTAATTTTATTTTCCATCAAATAACAAGGGGATATTTTGTAATAAAGTAAAGCTGTTAAGAAGAGTGTAAATAATTCCAAAAGGTTATTTTTGACTCATAACTATAAAATTGTTTGCACAAAAAGCACATTTTTGTGAGAGTTTCTTTAAGTAATGGAAATATTTCTATTTAATAATACATATAAGAAGTTACTTAGAAGCTGGAAAGTACTATAAGACTGCAGATTTCAATGGAGGAAGGTAATAACACCCAAATTCAAGATACAAAGTAACCCTTAGTCACAGATCACAACAGGTTACGAGAGCAACACCAGGTTAGATACCAAAATTTCAACTCATCATGCATGACACTTAGACCCAGAGTTAACTAACTTTAACCTGATGATGTCCTCAAGTTAGTAACTGCGGATGTGCAGTATGCAAATTTTTATTTATTTATATTTTCAAAAATAAAATTTTAGATATTCGGTTTGCTTTTGTTTTATGTTCAATAGGGTCAGTTCATCACGAAATGTAATTGTAATTAATTTATATCAAATAATTGCTTATAAACAAAATTAAAATTGTCCTGCGCTAATATCTTCTTAATTTCCCAAATAACTCTTAGCAGTTGTTGCTGCACTTAAATAATTTTTCTATGAGAAATAAACATCATGTATAATACAGACTGTGGTAGCACATTAGTAAAGCTTTTTTTTCAAATGAATTGTCTAATTGTAATTTTAGGAAATAAGATCTTTAATTATTTACCAAACATTTATTTATTTTTCTGAAGAAAAAATAGAAGTAGAAATGCAAACGATGCTTGAAATAAATATATCGTTTAAAAACAAAGAAAATAATTTATTATTTGATTAATATAAGTTAATTAGTGAGATGATAGATCTTGCCCAGTAAATAAAAAATAGTTTATTTAGATTAACAGGCAAAATAATCTGCAATATATAGATATGAAGATAACGAATCATATTTTAAAATTTTCCTATTTGTAGCATAGTACTAGTAATAATATAAAAATAAAAAACATATATACTTTATTAATAATATATTATAAATTATTTTGAAATAAATATTATATAATCAACACAAATCTAAAATTTTATAATCATAAAATAAGCTGTTGAACATTTGGAAGAAATAGAATCATAAAAGAGAGATTAATTGCTTAAAACTATAATACAAATTTAAACTGCTCCTCTTTAGCTGACATCTTTTTTTAATATTGGGCCTGGCTAATTAATGAAATCTAGTGTATTACAACTGATATATTTCCCTTTGCAACTATTTAAATAATTAAATTTTTAATATATGATTTTTTTTTAAATGTTGGAATTTTTGGGAGTATTTCCTTTGATTATGTCATTTGCCTTTGAAAAAGAAAATATCATATTCACCATATTCCTGATGGTGATTTTCTCTCTATCATCTGCAGGGAAGGCAGCACAATAAAAGCTGTTTATAACTCCCTCTGGATAATTCGAATGTGTTAATTTATATTAATCTGAGCTGTGATTTTTATATTATACAATTTCATTTAAAGTGTTAAAGAAAATCTTCTCAATGGTTTAAGGTATCCATAATATGAAGAAAAAAGATTAAAAACGTGAAGAATATATAATCCTCTTGATCATTGTGCAAAATAAAAGTATTTCTAATTGAATATTGCTATGTAATATTTCTAAGTTTGTGTGTGGCTGTGTGAGTTCAATTGAAATATTAATATAATATATGTTTTTTATTATAAATACGTAATAAAACTCAGACCCTTTAGCTTATCAGTACAAGTCAGTTTAAAAAATGAAGCAGTAAAAAAGTGAATAGAATTTAATCAATCAATACAATCTATTCCTTCAGTACAAAAATTTAAAAATAGCTATGAAAATTGAAAACATACACTGTTAATAAGGCTATAAATCTTCCACCAGAGTGTAAGAAAACAGCAGGTTCAATAACGCACAGTTAAAAAACGGACAGTCAAAAAATAATGGGAAAATCATTTTTCAACTTGTGGACAATATTTCCAAACTGGGTCTTCAAAACTGGGTCTTAGGTCAGTGTCAACAGTGAATACGGAAAAATGTAACTTAAAACTTTCATCTACACTTTGGATAAATCTGTAAAAGAATTAAGCTAGAACAAATTAAAACAGTTAGTCAAAAAAAATATTTCTGATCAATTAGCAAAGTGAAGAATTGGTGTGTTTATAGCAAAGTAACTAGGTTTAACCTGGAATTTATTTTGATTTATAAATTAACAAGATTGCATTGATTGCAAGATTTTCATTTCAAATTTGTAATTTTTTTAAAATTATAATTTAAAGTTATATTTTAAATTATATTACTTTAAAAAAATTTATTTAGTTTTTACTAATAACTTAAAAATGATGTTTTGTGGATGAATAAAACTTTATTTTTTAAGGCATGTTCCAATATTTTTTTGATAAAAAATCATAATTTTTTATTAATTTTGTTTTTATTTTTTAGGTTAAGCATGGTCATGCGAGACGCAGTTGGTGTGTTCTTATTGGACGAATGTTTCTGTACTTTAAAACTCCAAATGATTGTGTGAGTTAAACAAATCTTTATGTCTGCCAATAAAAGTGTTTTATTATGCTGTTGAAACTGTTTTGATCAAACTCTTATAACACTAATCTTCTAAACTTAATTCAAAATTTTGGACCCTTCAACTTTCTTTCAAGAACATAGCACAATTGAATGCTGATACACTGAGTGCCCCTACTTATTAAAATCTTTTTTTCATGATACAAACATTAAGAAGTCTCTAATTTTGCTTCATAATGCTATTTTTTCCTCATATTTATTATTCTCAACCTTCACAAAAGCTTTTTTTTCCTCAAAATTTTGTTGAAAAATAATACTAAAAATTAAATTATTTAAAAATTATTTAAATTAAAATTTAAACAGATAAAAGATGATTTATACTTAAAAAAGGATGTAATATCTAGGTATCAAGTTGTTTGTAAAATACACTGAATATAGACCTGTAGAAATGGTAATTTGCATCTCAATACCATATTCATAAAATGATTGTTTGCTAGAACACCATAACTAACTAAAACAGATATTTATAGTACACTTGTTTCTTTTAAGATCATTTTTATTGCATTAGGCTTATGCATTACTGTACTCTGAAGATGCATGTCAGTCCTGTACAATTCTACAGACTTACATTGAAGAATGAAGAAAATTTATTTTAACTATAGGAATTTATAAGAAATTAAGACAATTTCAAATCTGATTGATCTTTAATCTTCGATCATGGATTAGAGTTTGCCTTTGAGGTAAGATAGTGCTAGTTGTTTACACAACACATTTGAATTATCTTGTAGCAATTAAAGCTAATTTGCATGAATTGTTTTGTTAGCCTAGAATTATGGAAATCTATAAGCTTGAACCTCTTTAAGTGTTAATATCACAAAGATAATAATTGAAATTTTTCAGTGTGTCAGTTTTTAGTCTTCTAGGGTGCTAGAAGTTTAAACAGGGATCAGATTTAAACAGAAGTTTAAACAGTGGGCAATTATTGTTATGAAAACTAGAAAATCTTAAAAATAATGTATCAGATGATTGTTAAATAGGCCAGATGCTTTTGAAGTGTAAATGGAAATGAAAATTAAAACTTGTTATTTGTTTGGCATATTTAGCTAAGAGTTATTTTATGCAGATTAAAAAATAAATGAATTAAAATTAAATAAGTTTTAATAAATTAATATTTCCATTCATTTTATTTTAGAATCCTCTTGGTCAAATAAACATGCGAGATGCTAGAGTAGAGGAAGTCTCACATGTTTCTGACAGTGATGATGAAGATCATGATCACAATAAAATCACAAAATCTGAGTGTACCATAGGAATATTTCCTAATCATCAAGGACCCACTTACCTCCTTATGGATAATAAGCAGGAAATGGTAATAACATGTGTCTTTGGTATTCATTTCTTCAGCTTATTTAGCAGTCAATGTTTTTAAAAACCTAATTGCTATCTTTTTAAGCAAAAATATTTTTGAATGAATTTTTAAGGCATTTGTCTCTTTAGCTTGATATTTTTTAACACTTTGAATAGTAGTATTTGCATATATTTAATTTAAAAAAAGTTATTGCATGTGGCTTATTAAAGCAACTTTTAATAAATGTAGTTTATGTGGTTATTTTTGTTCCTTTTAGAAGTGGTTGAGTTTGTATGCTTTCATTGTTTTTATAGTTAAACTGGGAGAAAGTTTTAAATTTGTTTTTTTTTCATTACGGCAATTATTAATATGTACCTTATTTTCAAGTGGGAAATTTGATTGTTGTACCAATGAGCACCTTATTTTTTATTCAAAATAGGGAGATTTTTCACTTATCAAGTGTATTAGTCAGCCCTCTAATTCACACTTGTTGGAAATTTAATTTTTATTTCTAAGCTACAAAAAAAGTAGAAATATTTATGGATTCAAAAATTTGTCAGTAATTATATTTTATTGTTCCTTTATATTCTATTGTTCCTCATTCTCCTCATTATTTGCTTGCTCTTTATTGTTCCTTATTTGTCATAAGAATAATAGTTTTTATACCAGAATGTGAAGTTAATTATATGTCATGAATATGAATAAGGAATAGAATAAATCTGATTAAAAAAGGGTATAATTAGTGATTTAATCATGATAGGGAATAGATTACTAGTGTGAAAAATATTTGTGAGGTCCCAAGGCAAAAGAATATGCAGGAAAGGTCTAAATAAATTTTGAGGAGAGGGTATACATTAATTTAGTAAAAGAAATTATTATGTGTGCTAATGTGTGTTATCAATAATAAATAAATATATCTTTTGATAACTTCTAAGCACTATTTCTTATAGCATACCTTATATTATATAGCTTAAATTATTAATATACTTAATATATTATGTATATAATATACTTATGTATAATATATTTAATGTATTATATGTCATAAATTAGGAGCTAATCTCATATTGGCAGTCGTTTCCTTTGCTTAAAAAATTACAACTGTGCGACACCCAAGAAAATTAAACCTCATTGAAATTCTACTTGTCACTAATGTTGTATAACCAGTAGATGTCTGTTTATTACTGACAGAAAAGCAGATTTTTTTTTCTTCATCGTAATTTCAAAGTTAAATATGTAGGTGGGTAAAGTCTTCACTAGAAAATATATTTCCTATAGTCATGCAATGACGAAGTTGTTATATTTTATTTCAGTAAGCAAAATTCATATAAATGATTGAAAGGTCGTTATTTTTTAATGAGCTTTGACATTGATAATTTGTTTAAATGAAAATGAAACCAAATTATTAACTTACATTACATATACTTACTCAAACTTTTTATGAACACAATAAATTTCAAACTTTGAAAAGGAGTTTTAAAAAAATAGCAAATTTCTGACGAATTCATTTAACATTTTGGGTTAATGTTTAAACATAGCAAAATGTTAACTTTATAAGAAAAATATATGGAATGATTTCTTGAAAAAGTATTTAATATAAGATCTTTTCAATTTGTATATTTTCTGAAAGCTTTCTTTCCAATTTTTCTATTATTTACATAAATACTTAACTATTACATTAACTAGAGAAAATATTGATTGCAGATCGAAAATTCTTAAGCTTTTACACATGGCATTTATTTTGCCTAAAATGGTTTTTAAATCTGTTATGAAAATTCAACAAATTATTTCATTTTTTCTAATTATGCTATTTGAACCATTAAGAATTACATTAAAATTAGACTACTTTGCACTTAATGTTTGCAGTTTTTAAATAAATTTCTTTTCAATTTCTCATTATTTGACATTTTTCCCAAGGCAAATTATTTTTTAAAATAGCAATTTATGATTTATAGGATTCTTGGTTGTATAACTTGACTGTAGTCTCATCGGGTCATAATTTAGCAGGTACTCAAACTGAACAACTTTTTGCCAAACTGATGGAAGTTGATGGTGATGAAAGTAAGCTAACAGTTTTTGATTTGCTTTTTATATTTTTCTTGACATTTATGTATTCTGTTAATATAGCTAATTCCTTAAATTGTAAACTATCATCATACATATTTATAAGGTAATTTTAGTTTGAATTACCACTGTACTTCTCTTTATGAAAAAAATTATTTCCAACTCATATCATTTATCCACTGTTACTTTCTCAGTACATTTAGTTAATTTAATTGTTAAAGAATGATCTACTTAAAATATTAAATGAAATATTTTAATGCTAATATATATAGAGTTATTATGATAATAAATAACAAGTTTGTTAAAAATATTTATTGTTTAGTATATGAAATTTATTAAATTTAAATTTTGTGAACTGTTAATCATTATCTTAATCTTTGTATAAGACCAAGAAGAGAATTCTTAATTATTCATCCCCATGTTTGTGTCTTATTTTCAAGAAAGCGCTACTCCTTGTTTAGTTTGATTATCAATAATATTTTTCTTACATTAACAAAATTAGTCCTTTCCTTGAACTCAATTTTGTGAATATTAGAAATTTTCACTTAGATAAATTGCAAATAAAATGTTTTTCTCTTCTTAACAACTTATTGTTTCAGGCTCACCTATATGGAAACATCCTCTTCTTCTTTATACTAAAGATTCATTATCTCAACCTCTAACTACTCTTCCTTCTGAACAACTTCAAATGGAAGCAGTTAAATTATTTAAAGTAAGTTAAGCAATCTCTGAATATAAAAGTCTTAATATAACATATTATTGTTGTCAAATTTGGATGTGCCAACTACTACTGACCGTTTGGAACTTTACAGAATTCAGTACTGATAAGGAATTTTTTTAAAAAAAATGTTTGAATATTACAAAAATTCCCATTTAGAAAATTCTTTTTCAAGCTGATTTTACTGCTTATTTTTAGTATCTTTTTCACGAATTGGAGGCTTTCTTATTTTCACTCATTTGAACTAACTTATTTGTTCAAAAATTAAAATCAGTGCAATTTTCTCATACAATTTATAATTTATGACGACAAATTTTATTTAACAACGAAATTTAGAACTTACTTTATGGTTTGAAGAAGTTAAACATATTAAATATAATTTAATTGTTTTATTTTGAGGAGCATTTTGCTTATGCGTTACACACGTTGAAATTTAATATTTTTTGTCCTGGAAAGTACTCAAAAAGTGGTATTTGTTACCTTAGAAAAGTATTATTAGAAGTTGATATCCATTGAAATTTAATTCATATTTATGTTTTTGAAAGATTTGTATATAAAGCAAATAACTGAATAAGTACAGATATGATATATATATAAAAAAAGATAATTTCTTTTTAAACATGTATGAGAATTTATTCTAACAATTTATGTCAAGAAAACAAAGTAGACATTTAAGAGAATGTAAACAAAACAAATCAATCAAATAATTTAAAAAAAAAAATTATATAACCCACTTTTATCTGCTATAGCATACTTATAATTTAAGTACACACTTAAAAGACCTGAAATATAAAATTGTAAATATAACTTAAAAAATTCTACTTTAATTATAAATGTTTCACCATTATTTGCTCTCACATTACCACCCATGCTTTGAAAATCTGCTTTTTAACATGAAAATTTCCATCTTGTTTTAATTCACTCATTTCTATTTCAGTCCATCCAATTATTTATATCTGTACCTATGGATACATCAGGGATTGAATATCATGTTGCTTTAGCTCAAAATTCTTTACAACATTGTCTCATTTATCAAGAATTGCAAAATGAGTTGTTCTGTCAGTTAATAAAACAAACTTCTCGCCATTGTCATCACAAAAGTGGAGTTCAGGTATTTCATACATCCTTCAATTCTAATAACCTTGAATTTTAATATGAAAATTAAAAATAAGATTTTCGAAGTGCAACTTTTGATTTCACAATTAATTTAATAAGAATATATGACAGAACTATTTTATGGCAAGCTATTTAGAAACTGTAGCTTAATCATATAGAACTTTAATCATAATAATAACAAAAGCACTTCACCCTTTTGGTAAATATGTAAACTAATTGTAATGATAGTGTAATTATTCTAAATATGACACAAATCAAATAATGTTTTGCTAAGCATAGAATTTTGAAGAAAAAATATTTCTTTAGAAATATATGAAACAGCTTAAGAAAACCATAATATTGTGGATCGTATTACTTTGCTAATATTTTCATGCAAAATAAAAGTTCTACAAATGCAGCAAAAATGCAGATGTTGGTTTCAAAACTCAATGCTCAAAAGAGGTCTTCAGATGAAGATTTCGTTTTATCTAATGACCCAATTTTAAATTCAAATAAATATACATTACATAAATAAGAATGCATTTTGTAATCAAGTAGTCTCCAAAATACCATGCATAACATCTGGTAAATTAAATTATTTTGAAGACATTTTCGTAATTTCAAATTCATTATTTAATTATTAATTTTCATATACTTAAGCTTATGTTTTGCATTGTATCAACCCCTAAATTTTAAAACTTCTTTCTACTATTAATAACAGAGAAAAGATGGTTTCTATTACTAAAAATCTGAAGTTCCCCCCTGAGCTAATTTTGTAATTGATAATTGAAAGTTAATTGTTCTATTATATGCTTATTTTTTATGTTTAACTGAATTTGCGTAGATCTATAGCTTTTTCATTGGTATAATTGAATTTTTTTATCTGCACCGAAGAAGTTTAAATAAAACATTTTTTTTCCATTCCAGCAACTTATTATTTGTGCCACTCAATCTCTTTTTATGTGTGACACATCATCTACAGAAAAAGGAACATCGGTGTCCACAGGAAACACAGAGAAACCTATTCCATCTGAAAGCAAATTTAATCCAGCTCCTTTTGTATTTGTTCAAGCCTGGCAACTTTTATCATTAGCTGTATCATTGTTTCTGCCCAAAAATCGAACATTGTGGTATTTAAGAATTCACCTGCAAAGAAATGCTAACACAAAGTAATTTTTTTAAAAATAATGTAAAGCAAATCATTAGTTCATGTTCATGAGTTCATCACTAATTTAGGTTTAATATAGCTTTACTCTCTTCATTTTACCTTGAAAGTCAAATTATTTAATATCCTTTTTTTAATGTATGGGTTTTATGGCTATTTATTAACAATGAACTTCATAAAAAGAACAGGCATAGAATATGAAAAAGAAAAATTAGGCAATTATATAAGTTACTCATTATTTCTTTATATATTCATTGCTCATACACTAAACTAAAATATAAAATTTTTCTAAAATTCTAATTTAAAACTATCTCTAACTTATGTAATAGTAATAAGGGTAAACGAAAAAATATTTTGAATCTGAAGTTGTACATGTAAACAATTTGCATTTTATTTAAATTAAAGCATACTTTTAAATATTTTAAAATTTGCAAAAAAACAAAAAAAATAAATTTATCCTAACATTAGGTATGTAAAAACTTTTAGTGATTTTATCAATAAGTTATTAATTTTGCCTAACAGAATTAGTACTGAAGTAGTTAACTAGAATTTTCTAAGGGACTTAAAACTATTTTGAATTATATTTTTAAAACTATTTTGAATTATATTTTTAAATTGACTATTAAATTAAACAGTTTTTATTCTTTTTTTTTAAACTATTTGAATGGATGTTTTAGACTACCTAAGAAATTTATTTTAAATGAACTTCAATTTTGAAATATTTTCTATAGGTTTGAAGCTGGTAAATATGCAATCTTTTGTCAACGTGCTTTAGAAAGAACATTGGCTAATGGAGGAAGAGAATGTAAGCCTTCCAGAATGGAAGTTCTCAGTATTTTTATGAAGAATCCTTATCATCATTCATTACCACATAGTATACCTGTACATTTTTTAAATGGAACTTACCAGGTTAGTTATATGTACTCAAGTGATTGAAATTGCTTATCAGTATCAGTCAAGAAATTAAAGTGAATTGAATTTAGTCAAAAAATTAAAATAGCTATAATATAATTTTATTGATTAAGCAACAGATGATGGAAGGAGTTGCCACTTTTATATCAATTGAAAATGTTTTTAATTACATGTAAATGTTAATGTTCATATAAATAAGAATAATTTTCATTAATGCAAATTATTTGTTCTTAATTAATTTTTATTATATTTTATTTCTAATGCCTAATTTTCTCATTGCATTATTTTCATTGTATAATTTTTTCTTTTGTAACTTATTCTTTTATGCCCAGTTTTATTTTAGAATTAGTAAAAATTCTTTCAAACTATTTTAAAGTTAAGTATTTTTTTATAATTTTTAAACATAGCAGTATAATGATGTTTCAATTTCTTAAATTTAATTTACAAACATTGTTTATTATCATTTTTATAATCAAAATTGCAGTGGTGACAGGAGGTCACTAAAAGGCATTATTACAAAATCAATGAAACAGAGTTATGAATAATTGAATTTAGGATTTTAATAATCAAATGAAAGAAAAAGAATGTCTTACTGTTTTCAAAACAAAAATTAAAATGAAACAAAAGGGGTGTTACCAGATACATAAAGCATAATAAAGCTAGATACCAAAACTGCCACTCACAATAAGTAACGTTAATCGAATTCTCGATTTTTAACAGCCTCTTTTAAGCATGAAAATGCTCAATCTATGAGTTAAAATATTACTTATACAGATTGTTTTTACATCAATCAAACTCACTTAAGAATGAAACTGCAGTGATGCAAGTGCTTTTGTCAAAATGTCTCTGCAATATCGTCAATTCTGACATAGCCTGATTGAAAATGTCATTTTGAGAACTCATTTTGGACAAACGTATATCTTGGGTCGATGTGCTTTGTTTGTGCATTAAACATAGGATTTTTAATGTACTTGATGGTGCTCTGATTATCAATCTGCAGAATCTGCAATGAGATAATATCAGTTATGTCATTTAACAAGCCTTTCAGTTGTATAATTTTTTTGTGGCATCTGCTGCAATGACTCCTCTGTTGTTGAATTGGATATAGCTTCCTGTAGCTTGCTTTGTTACGTAATTGCACTTACCTTAGACCAATATGGTAAGTGCAACTTAAATAACACCTGTTTGAGACCTGCGTGTTTCTAGACAGCTGTTATATACATCGCTAAACAACATCAGAATAAATGTTATTTGTACAATTTCCTAATCAGTCTCCTAATCAACTTACGAGACACCAAACTCACTATGTAGTCAATATTTGGATGAGTCCCTATCACCAAATAAAGCAAACTGCCAACTTCTGATCAATTCGATATGGAATCTCACTGCCTCCTTGATCTTGATTATGCAATATCATTTGGTTCACCATAGTTGACTGTAAGACTCTACTTCATAACTGGGATGTGTGATATTTTAGCATCTCCAAATACCTCCAATATTTTTCTTGTAAAGCTTTTTGGTGTACAAGGACTGAGCCTTTTTTTAAAAACATTCAACTTGCAGCCCAAAAAAAACTCCACATCGTTAATTTAATATTGAAATATTGCTTGAACTTGTCCATAAGTCATCAGCCTCGTGTGTGTCCGCTTCATCAGGAGTACCAAAATTTTAACTCCATACCGCATGATGGGCCAGTATAAAATGTTGCTTCTACGAGTTGGGAAGTAGGGCCGATTCACTTTTCATTGAAAACAACATTTACTCTCTTTTTCATTTAATTTTTGAAGGCATAAAAATAAACCCATCACAATTACCTACCAAATATCTTTTATAGCCTGGTCATCTAGTTGACTTCTGTTGACATCTAAGTACATGGCAAGTTGAAATTTGGTGCTTTATTATATAACAAATGTATGTATATCTCTTTTTCCGAAATAGAACTATACGGTTATTTAGTCATTTTTTAATTCCATCTATTTTATATGTCAAAATGGACAAAAGTCCACATCAGATTTTTTATCCTTTCATCTAACCATAATCATTGAATTTCATCAAAGCATGGGTTTGATGGTTAAAACAATTTACTAAAATGAAATGAGGCACAGTATCCTGGGTTATTTTTATAAACAAATACTAAAGATATCTTTACTTAAGGTAAATTGTAACTCTCTTTCTTATTTTAGTATTATTGTGTAAGAAAGTGTCATTTTTCTTCATATGTTATTGCATTCGAAAGTGTTTTTTCCTTTCTAATGCACTTCCTATTGCGCTAATGGTCCTTTTTTTGTTAAAAATGGTCATTATTTTTTTTAAAAATGGTCACTAAAGTCACTTTTTTTTTATAGAAAAATAGCTGCTTACTATCCTTGAAATTGTAACTAGAGAAAAGCAAATGATATAAAAACTGAAGACATCTTATTATTTGATCTTTATACTAAATTATAGTATACTAAATTATAATATACTACTTTATATATATAGTGCAGAAACAGATTTTTCATGCTGAAGCCAAAATAAATGTAAAAGTTAAAGGATTGTGGATTGGAATGTGGTTTTTCTTTTAACCAAATTTTTTAACAAATTTTTATTTTTAGGTCTTTGGATTTGATGGTTCTACTACTGTTCATGAATTCATTGAAACTGTCAATCGAGAAGTTGGCATTCGGGATTGTGAATATTCTGGCTTTGCTTTGTTTAGTGATGATCCAATTGAAAAAGATTTGGAACACTGCCTTTTAAAAGATGCAAAGGTACATAAATTATAATTTTATCATATTGTATATTTTATTCTATATGCAAATAAAAATGTAAATTTTTTTTAACAATTTGGAAAAGATTTGTTTAGTAAAAGATTATTTTTTAGCTTGTTTTTGGCGGAATAAAATGTATGCTGTTGCCAAAAATTATTAGTAGTTATGTGGGATTATTTCTTACTTTAGAGGCCTCTCTCGGCAAAGTGGAACTTTTTGTCGTGCTAAGTGAGAATTGGTGTAAGGGAGAAAGGGTGGGAAACTGTGTTGCCTGACCTTCCAGTCAAATATAAGGTTTATGGGAGAAGACCAAATGACCTTTTTCCTAAACTCCTAAGCTTTGCAATTTACTTGTTTTACTTTCTTTTTCTTTTGTTGCCAAACCTGTTTTGCTTTGAGGAAAGTTTGGATTGGAAGCTAAATTTATTTCTGCAAAATTTTTTTCTCTCTTCCACTAGGTTTTTGCAGTCAAAATCACTTATGATAAGCGCGAAAGGATCAGAATATTTGCTCACTATAACCGAATACTCTTCAAAAACGATTTTGTAGGAAATTCATTAAAGTTTATAGAAACAGAAGAATATTGCTCATTAAAGCCAAACTTTTCTTTTTAAAAAAAGTGCCGTTTTCTTGCTTTAGACTTTTTTTTTTTTGATTTTAGAACTTACATTAAATTTGTATTTTCTTGAATTGATCAAACAAATATAAATACAAAGATTTCTGAGAATAAACTTTAAAATTAAGTAATACAGATAAAGTAACGTTTATAACATATAAATGTTTCATTTGTTAAATCAATTAAATCCATTTTCTGATTTTTTTTATGTTTTAATTTCTAATCACTTGCTTACTCGTAATTGTATATATTATAATCTATTTATATTATTATATATTATAATCTACTTATAATCTATTTATGGAGATAATCTGTTTATGGAGATGAATGAGTGAATGAGACATAAATGTATTAAATAGGTTATTTTATTCCAATAATTATAAATTATCTTATTTATATTGATTTAGAATATTATTTTGGAAAATATTTTAGCTATTCGTACAATACAATAGCTAAACTATAAATGAATAAATATTTTCTATGGTTAAATTGCTAGGTAAAGCAAGTACGATGATAACAGTTCTTTTAATATTTTTAGGCATAAAGTAATGAAAGCCATAAGTGCTTTTTTTAACACAATTTTCTATGAATTTTTGTTTTGGTAAGAAAAGAAAATAAATGTTTTGGTAAGAATCAAAAATTAAATGAAAATTAACAAAACTAATTTTTTTATTTTTATTAAAACGTTGAAGCTGATACAAATGATCGGCATAAAAAACCTGTTGATGAATTTCCAAAACATTTGTAAATAAAATATCTCTAATAGAAAATTGAAGAAATATTTATCTATTCAATTCATTAGTTTAATAAGAATTGAAATATATGCAATACTTATTTATAAACTATTATTTATAAAATTTATTAATTATTTAAAATATACAGTATATAAAATATCAGTAATATATATGTTATTGGGAAAGTTCAGAATCTCGTTCAGAATGCCTTGACATTGTATATAATGCCTAAAGTTATGATTTGATGATTGTCTCTACCAAACTGCTCATATGTGAAACAGTGAAAAAAAATATTTGCTTTACTCATTGAAAAAAAAGCAATGCCTTATCCTTATATGCTAATCATCATTTCACATTTAATTAATAATTCAATTTAAGCATTTAATCAATAATTCCATAATCGGATTTAATCATTTGATTTAATAATATTTTGGTATTTCAAATCAAATTACGTCAAAGCAGCATGATACAATCACGATTGTTTTATATTGTGTACTTTTATGCCTAGTAAGATTCTTTCCTTCAATTTATTGTATTTTGATTACTTATTTTAATTATATTTAGGTTCTTATTTATTTAGTTTACATAAAATTCCAGTGTTTTAAATTGGTATTTATTAACGTAATGCATTTGCGATTATGATGTATTTGAATTTTATGCAGCGGTACAACTTTGCGTATATTTGAAAAAGTATGAAAAAAATTATCAAAATACATAATTTCTGATTATGAGTAATATCGCATATATTATTTTATCATATATTTCATAATTATTTAAATTGTTTTTAAATGTCTAATTATTTATTTCGTATATAATTTGTTATTTGAAACGGGTGCCTTAACTCCGCGATCGATCATACAGTCAAATTTTGTGCCGCATATCCGATGGTGTGTCTTTTCTGACAAAAAACGTTTCCCTTTTTATTCAAATTTGACAGGTACGGCATATCTCTGCTAAATTACCATATGTTTTTTTTTAAATATATTTTTGAAAATTATTTTTACAGCTATGTGATGTTATTTCTCAATGGGAACAAGCCTTACGAGAGCAGCATTTTGGAAAATTTGAAAATACTAAAGTATTAAAGCTTATTTACAAGAATAGGTAGGTAATTTATATTCTATAATCTTAAAGATTTGTACAATTTTTTCTAAGATTTGTATAATTTTTATTTATTTTTATAAATTACTTATGCTTACAATTTGAGTTGTGTAATTAAATATTTCTGTGTAATGTACAGAATTAATTACTGTTTTTATATTATTCTTATTAATAATTAGTATATTTTTTACATAATTTTTTAATTTTTATAACAATTAATAATTGTACGAAGTAATCATTATTTTAACATATGGATTTGGAGAATTGTAAAATATCCTAAGAAACTTACTTAGCAATGTTAAATATTTGTAAAGCTAAATGTGGATCTATACTCCTTTCTAAAAAGCTTTGTCAATTATGACTAATGTGATTTTAACTCACACTTTCATAATTTATAACTTTTATTTACACAAAGATTTTTAGTTAATTTCCTTCTGTCATTTCAGTTTTTTACTCCTAATTTGAACTCCTAAAAGTTTTGAATGAACTCAAATAGAAATTATTTATTGAGTTATTTTTTTTTTTGTCTCGTATACTTTTGTACACTATATTTTCGACAAAAAATGCACACAAAAATTCCAATAATTTCCGGTTAAGTTTAAAGTGTAAATTAAGTAAATAGGTTAAAAAAAATTTTAAAGATATTTATACAAACTTTTATTAAACCCTATATCAACAAACGGGTTTTCAAACAATATTTTTACTAATCACAACAAATTTATATTTTAAGGAAACTTGATGTTATGTGCTATTGATGTTATGTGTTAATAAATCTTTTTTGTAAGAAACGCATTTTACAAACATAGATATACATTCGTTAATTTGAATGAAAATTTGTTCCGTTGGCAGACATGTTTAAAAACACCAAGTGAATAAAATTTCTGTTAACTACCAAAATCCAATTTCAAAAGTGGCTTACTACGTAAACCTTGCTGAGATTTGTTCCGGTTTTCTCTAGTTCAGTGTGGAACTCTTAAATAATGACTTAGGCTTTAATTCAGAAAGTACTATTGGCTATTTTAACGTATTAAAACAAACAATAACAAATAAATGAATGTGTCTAATGTTTTACATAATGTCAGAAGTCTAATGGGAGACAATACATGAGGCGGATCTGAGAAGCTGTTTAAAAAATTTTTGCATTCAATTTGTGTACTTGTAAATAAATAAACAAAACAAGAACAATGGTCGTAGCTTTTTTTGGCCCAAAATAAGAAAAAAGTTAATAGATAAACTCAATAAACATTTATATCTTTGCGACATATTAGTCTTATTGACATTAAAGCCATTAAAATAAGCAATAAAAAAGAGAATGTCTGAAAAAATAATGAAATTTGCCTTCAGTTTTAAATATTTATCGAGAAGAATATTTTTTAGTTATTATGTTTCTCTGAAATTGTATCAAAATTTTCTTATTTGTTTCATAATTTTTGATAAATAATTTTCTATAACAAGTATTGTATAATTGTTATATCTTATACTTTTTTCAAAATACTTTTTCAAAGTTTGGAAAATGTAGTTTCAATGAGGTAAACAGTTTTTTCCTATTTCTTCATTCTAAACTACTATTTACTGAAATAGAAAACATATTTAACATAGTGAGTTTCCAAGAAACTTGTGAGTCATTTCCAAAAATGAGGCTCAAATTCAATGGTTAGTTTAAACTTGTGTAAAATATTCAATATTCATAAGTTCATGTCTTTACTTTTATTCATTTTATTGTATATTTGTGTATTTAGAATCATACTACGGCAAAATATGAAAGCTGAGACTGATAAAGAAAGATTACTTTTAGTATATCAAATAAATGAAGATATTGTTGATGGAAAGTTTCCATTATCCAAGGAATTGGCTGTTGAACTTGCTTCTCTTCTTGCACAAGTAAATTCTATTAGTTTTTTTTAACATTTCAGATTATAAATTGAAGTAATTACGCCCTATGTAGTATAAGGCCTTATTTGCCAGCCTTTATTAATAAGATGTTTTTAATTCTTATAACATTGGGAAGTAGTGAGACAAAAAATATTTATATTCAGTATTAAATTTATTTCAGTTAATGAGAAACATAATTCATCAAGTTTTAATTCATGCTATCTAAAAAATATATTCTAAAATTTTCAGTTTAATTAATATGTTTATGAAAATTTAAGTCTAAAGTCAATGGCACCTTTTTGTAGTAAGAGTTTGTTAAAATCTATGGACATTTGATCTTCGACCTTTATCTTTATTATCTAAGGCTATGCATAAAAATACCATAAATAGTTTTCGTAGCTGAAAAAATATTTGATTAATTTTGACAAAACAGTGCCATAAATGCTAGCTGATTATTCAATAATGCAACTTTTGTTCTTGTTATGCATTAAAAGAACCATTAATATGCATTAAAAGAACCATTTAAAAAAGTTTTATCATTTTAAAAAATTTATTTGAAAATTATGTTTAAAATAATAGATTAATACCAGACTGTTGTTTTTATAAATAACATTTGCCATAAATTAACAGTAATAATGCCCTGATAATTTTTTGAAAGGAAAATTAGCTACCCAATGAAACTAACATTTCGGAAAATGAAGTGAGTAAAATTTTCAAACATGGAGAGTATGAATGAGAAATTTATTTTACTCTTTCAAAAAACATTTACACATATTGTACTTTCATCCTTTTAAACTAATGAATGCATATGAGACTTCATGCCAATTTTCATATGGCAGTACAATATGCACTTTTGATTATCATTATCAAGTACTCTATAATTCATTAACTTATTGACCAGAGCTCATAAAGAACTAGTATTAAAATCAAGGGGGCAGGTCATTGTTCCTTCATTCATGTTTAATGAGTGGTAAAGTCGAAACAAATAATGGCATTAAATAATGTTTTGGAAATTTGCTAAATCAAATGACGGTCGGTACATAAGAATGAACCATTTAGTGCAGACATTTTAAAAGCTGTTAAAATAACATAACAGCTGCAAAATAGGAAACAAGACTTTATGTGTCTATAATGGAAAGCTCCTTGTAACATACCCTGTAACTTTTAAGGTTTTTAGGAAATGGTTTTCTTAGTGTTAGTGAACTAATGCTGCAATTTGTAAGACAAATAGAACTTTTATCAGAACTTAAGATCATAATAATTTGCATTTCGGACTTTTTTTATACTTGTTGAATTTATTCATATGTGGTGGTGAACTTAAATTCTTTTAGTTCAAATTTACTAAAATAATAAATAATTAGTTTTCCTGCTACTAAGAAAAATTTTCTGAAACTTCAGAAATTTGGTAATAGTTGGCTGCTGTTATGATAATCTGTCCTAAAGAGTATAATAGAATGTAAATTTTTGTTTTGGATTAAAATTAACAAAATTAGCTTCTAAACCATTCCTTCATGATGTTTTAAGTCGTATCTCCTCATTTTCAGATAAATCTTGACCATTTGTACAAAATTTAAACATAAAGTGGAATTTTTTTTTAGTGTATAAGTTGGTAGAATCCTGTTCTAAACTAATTTTTTTAACATTTAAAATGTTTGCAAGATTTTCCTAAAAATAACTAGATTTGTTTAATATTAGCTGTAATATTTCTGTCTAAAATGTAATCCTCTGTTAGCTAACTGAATCAATGCATTCAAAATAGGAGCATCTGTGTAGGAAATCTACTTCAGATGACATGTTTTTCAATTATGTTAAGCATGTGAACTATTTGTGAATAACAAGTTTAGCCCCGGACAATAGATATATTGTTTGCTGATCTCTATGGAAACACTATTAAAATTTATTATAGGTGTGATAGAAGAAAGTATTCTACTTTCTTTAAACAGACCCACAGATGCCTTCTGTTGAACCTACTCACCATTGGTTCATTTCTTCATAGCAAAAAACTTTTCTGTTGCTTGGAACCATTCTGTAGAACCTGTTTCTGAACTCTTACTTGTGTTTAAAATTTTTAGAATATTTTCCATGAAAAACAGATGCAACTGCCATTTGTAAAGGAAATTCAAACCAGACATTTTTGTTGTCTCTTTCTTTTTTAATAAAGCCTTCGTTCAAATTATTTATTCTTCATTTCTTGTCCAGTAGATTATATCTATTAGTAAAGGAAGTTTACTGGTTCTCCATAATCATTGCACACTGGAAATTATTAGTTGTATAATATTCTCTTGATGTTAATTGTTTCTAATAATATTGCTCATTTTTCACATCCCCCTCCCCAAAAAATTTATATACTAGTACATATAATTAAAATTATTTATTTCTGTAATCAATGTACATAAAAAATTTATTAATTCTATAAAAAAAAGTGTTATATACAAAGATTCAGCTTTTTTTTTTTTAGAAAATTGATACTTTAGGTACTAGAGCACATAAATGTTTCATCAAAATAAATTTTTGTGTTAAAAATCAAGTAAAAAACCATCAAATGATGCTTAAGAATATTGTTTAATTTTGAATTTTCTTTTAGATTGAATTTGGTGATTTACCAAATGAAATGCATTATGGATCAGAGACACATACCAAACCAAAACTGCAATTGGTACAGGCTCTAGATAAATTTTTTCCAAAACATTTAAGGAATGCTTCAACAGATAGGTATTTTTGCTTATTTAAATTTTAAATTCTCCTATGTTTGATTATTAAAAATTTAGGCTCAAATGATTATTACAAATCTGAAATGCATGAAAGAATATTCACAAAATTGTGTTCCCCTTTTAATTTTATTTTCAGAGTCTTCATTTGGAACATATAGTTATTGATTCAGCTTTTGTTATATGTTAGGAATTTTATGTTAGCAGTTTTTTTTTTCAAAATAGCAAATTTTTTAATGTATTAACTTATGAACTATATGTAGACTCCAACTACCATAATTTTGCCTTCTCTGTAATTTTAGAAAAATATTTTCCTAGTGGTAGAAAGGGTAATGTATTTATATTTTAATATAATAGGATTGAAAGAATTTTGTCCACCTCTGAGCTCAAGTAATTTAAACTGATACATATAAAATCTTGTAGACAAAATCTTAAATTCTAATAATTATTCTGTTCAAAAACATTCTGCTTTTGTTTACTACCCCTGAAAAAAATAATTTGAAACTATCGAGAATTCTTAGTAGTTGGAGTCTCTGTATATGTGCAATATAAAGTACGTTTAATGTGTGTAAATAAAGTAACTTAAATATAGTAGTTTTATGCAAATATTATAACTTTTAATTTGATGAGTGAAAAGTTGAAGACTGGTAAAAAATTTTGACCATTCTAACGAAAATACAATATATGATGGTTATTTTGTCATAGCATGTTTCTTCATTTCTTCAGTACATATAGACAATAAGTTATTGTCTATAAGTGAAATATTTTTGGTATACCCATCAATGTGACAGGGATTGTATATGGTATAAATGAAGTCAATCAACTATACTTCTTTTACCAATTTTTTGGCCAACTTATTACATTTTTATTGTAATCAAACATCCCAACAAAAATGAATGTGTAATCTTTTTTGGTGGCTAATAAAGATTTATAAGAAACGAAAGCTTTTAGTTTTCTATGTTTATTCTCTTTGCTAATAATTTTAAGGCATTGTGAATTTTACTAGAATGATTTTCATTTTAACAATTCTTGTTTTATTAAATATTTCTGCCCTAATTTTGTATTGATTTTTTGAAGCTCTTCTAAATTACAGCAAAACAATGTTTGACTTTACCGACTAAGAAACAGAGCTAATGCGATAGTATTACTCAGTTATTCTAATTTTCATCACATTTCATTTTTATGTTATCAAGATAGTTTGCAGTTAATAGTTTATTTTTAAATTTTTTTTAGAAAACTTTGTGATTCAATTAAAGAAAAATGGATTGGGCTTAAAGGCTGTAGCATCACAGATTGTGTTCGAGTTTATTTGAACTGTGCTAGAAAGTGGTCTTTCACAGGAGGAAAACTTTTTCCTGCTAAAGTATGATTGTTTGTTTAAACAGTTTAATTTCTGCTCTGCACTGTTAATTATGTTTTAATATTTTTCTAATACATAATAATAAGATTTTTCAAATTTTTTTTTATTTCATAAAGAAAAAGTTTTTTATGCTATATTAGACAATGTAAATCTGTAATGACAACAAAAAGGAAAAATCCTTATTCATAAGATTTATTTTTCATTAAAAAAATTCTCTCTGAAGGATTATCATTTTAACTTTTATCAAATATTAGGATAATGTGCGCAAATTTCAATGAGAGAAAAATGTTTTTAATTTTAAGCCAATTATTTGTAAGATATGATTCTTGTACTAAATTTATCCTAATTAAGTTACTAAAATAAGAAAAAAACTTATGAATTGCATTATTTATTTAAATTAATAACTAATATTGTTTGAATCAATATTTATGACTGTATATATTTTATAAATGTTTATTATTTTTAATTTCATAAATTATTGCTTAGATTATGAATCATTTTTTAGTAGTGATATAAAAATAATTTATTTGACAATAGTTATTTAACTCTGCTTTTGGCACTTAATATGCTGAAGCATGTCATTCTGGTCCATTTGTTGCACCAGCCATAAGTGAAAGGTTAATCAAGAAACATTGCTTGTTTGAAAATTTTTTGTCAAATGTGCTGGAAAGTTAGTCAGGTTAAAAATATTAGTTTCATAATTATTGATAAAATTGATGAAGCATTATAAAATAAACATTAAATATGAAATAAAATTCCAGTCAATAGAAAAACTTAATTATATTTGTTTTGATTTCTATGTTATAATTTAATTTTTTTTAATGTGTGATATTAGAAATTCTGCTGTTAAAAAACTTACCCTAACTTCACGTATATTTAAAAAATTTCCTTTTTTACATTATTTGTTAATGATGATTACTTAGAAAAAAATTAATTTGTAGAAAATCAATTTCTATGTTACAAATTAATATTTCATTAATTTGTGTCATCAAGAAAATATAAGTGTGAAGAGTTTATTTCTAATAAAGTGTTACTGTGTTTTTAAAAAAATATGTATGAACTGCATTTATTTTTCAGTTAAAATGTGATGCTATTCAAAATGTTTGGCTTGCAGTTGCTGAAAACTGTATTGCAGTTTTGGATGCTGTTTCATTGGTAAGATAATGTTTCATTTTCTTTACTCTATATCAATAAGAAATTGCTTCGTAAAATGCTTTGATCAAGAAGCTGTGTAAGAGATGTAAAATTTGGGAGGATATATTGAATATCCACATTATTTGCAGTTAAAACTGCTGCAGGTTGATGTGCCATACAGTTGTCTAAAAACTAAACAATTTCGCAGTCAAGCAATCCTACCAATTTGCAATGCACCTGTAACTTAACCACAAAATATCTCTGAAATTATTCTGCAAAAAGTTCCTGACTAATCCATGTTTTCTTTTTTTCTTTATAAATTACTGGCAAAACGAATTACTTTTACCTAACACGTTTTAACTAATACTAGCACAAGTAGATGATGAATGATCTACTAATTTTGGAGATATAGAAAATAAGAGAGAAAGGGGTGGAACCACAGTGAAATAATTGAAAGTGTGTAAAATATATGTTCATCTGTAGATCAAGGTCAAGATGTGACACTATTTTTTCAAACAGTAATGATCAGCTGTCCCAGAGTCATCCATTTCTCAGAAAGGGGTTGGGAGGGATTGAGACATATCAGATAGTTGTAAAGTGACATTAATATAAATAACAGGAGTTTGTACTCATTTTTTCTGTCACTTTAAAATTGGATAACAAAATTGAAAATAAGGATTGAACTTGAGTAGCAATACCAATATAGCTCAAAAGGTTATAAATATCTTCAAGGTTATGGAAGAAATATTGAAGCTTTCTCTGAACTAACAGGGAAAAAATACCCCACCCACCTTTTCCTCTACTCAACATCAAGAATGAGTAAAATTTCTGCTTTTTTCCTTAACCCCTTCCTTCTTACTCCTATGAAAATGACGGGGTGAGGTTTTCCCCTCTATTTCTTGCTCCCGTGAAATTTCCAGCCTGGAGTGTTCAGTAGTAACGCACCAATAAGAATAAAACTAATTTATTTCTTTTGCCCGGAAAACATTTCATTTCTCATTTTACACACCCGATGGCAGTACCTGGATATTTTTAAGGTAATTGTAGATAGTTAATTTTAAACTAGATATAAAAAATAGGCACTTTTATGACCATTTTCTTGAAAATTAACCAATCATTAAAGGGTTAATCTTTCTAGTTCAAAATGGCGGGGAAACCTAGCAATTTTCTTTCAGTTGTCTGTTTTCCCGGCTTTCTGGATACCAGATAAATGGTTCTGTACTATATATTCAGTCACTTTAATTTATTTATGAAATGGCAGCATTTATTATAATTCCTTTTTCAATAAATTTTTTACAAAAATTTCTGTTAATTGACAACAGCCTAAACCAGCATGTATTTTTTACTAAACACATCAGACAATTTGGTTTTCAAGCATATTTTTGAAAGATATTGCAGATTTTACCACACATATTTTTAGTTTTTACCATTTCATAATACAAAACAACTTTTAATAAGAAAAGTTACTCTTTTAACATTGTGTTATATGAGTTACATTATGGGTACCCTCTTCTAGTTAGTGTATTTTATTTGCGATTTATTCAAACCTTAATGTATGTTTCATAGGTATTTTGTGTATTAACATTTTTTGGCAACTTGTAGAACTGAATATTTTTGTACATTAAACTAATAAGTTTTTGTTTTATTTAAATGTAGCAATGTTTGGTACAATATCCATATTCTTCTGTGCTGACATTTGGAGGTTGTCGAGAGGATTTTATGTTAGTAATCAACTGTGGAGATATACCAGGAGAAAGAAACCAGTGTTCAACTGAACGTTTGTTGTTTAACATGACAAAGCCCAAGGTACATTTTTATTTTTAGATTTAAAAATTAATTTATAGGTTTTCTGCAATTTATTTTTAAAAACTAAATATATAAAGTTATGGAAGATATTCATGCTTAATTATTTATTTATGGTTTAGACATATTTTTAATATTATCTGTAATGCAGTATAGATTTTATGGAATCACTTATTTGAGGTAACTTTATCATAAAAATGTTTTGCTGAGATCAAAAGAAAAAAAATATCTTCTATGTATTTTCTATTTACCTGTTAGCAAACATATTTATCTGTTTTTTTTTCATTATTTACTTTTATGAAACAGGCTCTAAATGCAATAAGAAAGTTTTTGGTTTTTCTAATTTTACCTTTCAGTTATATTTTACAATATTTATCTCAATTGCAGAAGGTTAAAATTAAATAAGTATTTCACATCAGCATAACTTTGTGTAATCGTTTGACAAGTGTAAATTGGTTGCTTATAATTCCATACATTTAAACAAACTGTTTTTGTTTGCTGAAACTAAATTCATTCATAACAAACAGATTTTTTTTCTCTAAAATCAGCATTTTTTGCACTATAAAAAAATCACCTCACTTTTAAATTCTACCTGACACATGGATGCGAAAAAGTACATTTTTTGATAAGACACTTTTTTTTATCTATATTATAAATGAGTAATTAAAAACAAATCTCCCTCCTTTGAGGGAGAAGTGTAATTTTAAGTTTGTTATTTATTATTAGTTGTTATTTTCAGTATGTTGTTTATTATTAGTTGTTATTTTCAGTATGTTTCTAGTTTATCCCTTTGTCTCATAAAGTACCTTTTTCTTATTTTAATCCCTTTTCTTCTCTTTTTTCTAACATTTAGTCCCTTTTTTATAAAAAAAAAAGAATTATCAAATGACCAGCATGTACTGGTATGATTGAATAAACCCTTGCAAAACTGGTTTCCAGTGTAATCCAGTATTGGTCCAATACACAGGACAAAATTGTACAAAAGCACATTCAAATGTTTTTCCTTGAAAATGGCAAAATTTTGCATGGTCAAATCATAGTAGCAACATCAAATGCTAACTTTCAGCAAATGCTCTTAAAAATATGCTTATAATAAGTTACAATAGCCCACATGTGTTCATAATATTTTTCGAAAAGGATCAGAAAACATAGAGTATTAAATGTCAGTTTTTTGTATATCAATATAGTTTTAATATAGATGTTAGTAATTTATTTATTATATTTATTAATTTTTGTTTTGATGGCTGGACAGTAAGAGGGGAAGACCTTTTGGAAATTACAAAATATAAAGATGTTTAAAAGTTCTAGAATTAGGGTTGCACAACCTTTTTGAGTGAAGGGTCACTTGTACACTAGGTTGACTAACGAAGGGCTGTATGTATATTTACTCATATTGGTAGCAATGATATTAAGTTTATATAAACATTAATGTTTAAAGCATTATATTTTTTTATCAGTAAACTAAGTAACATATTTGCTGGAAATTAAATATTTTTAATTATTGGAATTCATTCAACTGATACTATTTTAAAAAAATTCCCTTTTTATCAATAAATGATTTATCAAACAAAAAAAAAAATATTGGGGAAAAAAAATATAAATTCTAAAAAAACACTATATTGTTCATAGAATGAAAGTGTTAAAAAAATATATATTTGCATATTTTAATCAATAATATAAATTTGAATTAAGTATTTTAATTTTAAAAAATTTATCGGGTTTGAACCAAAAATTAAAACAAAACCATTTTAGAACAAAATGAGATTCAATATTAATTTGATATTATACTTCAGATAATTCTATTTCGCGAATTCTTAAGAGATCTATGCATTTTAAATAGGAGACTATTTCTATTTGTTTTTCTTTTTTTTGGCAGTTGTTATTGTTGATTTCCATATGATTTTTTAAAAATTTTAATTCTATTATGATACAGAAGACTCAAATCGCACACCAGAGTATTTTCTATATGGCACGATAACTCTTATCATTTTATTCACTCAATGTTTTGGCAGTTTTCTGTACTGATTCTGCCAAAGGTATTTTTCAATATTTTTTAAAGTTTGGATATTTTTAATAAGATATTATTTATTGCAACATGTGAGTTTTAAAAGTTACATGCTATTAACCTCGTTTTGATGTGCATTTATTTGATTTCTGCTTAAACATACATGATTTTATCATCAGTTCACAGTTTTTAAAATCCTTTAATAGAGATATTATATATTTTGTAGAGAGATTAAATAGAGATATTATTCAATATAATCTTTTTTATGAAATCCGAGTGAAACTTTCCTTATGACTAAGCTGTTTGGTACCGTTGAAATGAATATCTCATGATTAGCACTCTTTTAACTGATTATGTGGCACTAGTAAGCTACTCTCGATTATATCTGTTCCTGACAGGAACACGTTAAAAATTGCATGTTGATCACTAAAATAAATGCACCATTTATCAAAATTGCGATATGGTGTACCTTGTGCTACTTATCAATTATTATTATTAAAATTTGTTAAATCATTTATGTTGTGTGTAAATATATTTTTATTAGGCACACATATTGTAAATTGTTTTAATACCTTTTGTTTCAGATTCTGGAGCTGACATTGTTGATTGCAGATTACATGAATGCAACAGTTCAGAATGCGCAATACAATAAGAGAAGTGGCAGTGCTGTGCCATCTTCACCTAAAGGATCTATTTCCACTGTATATAATTCTGATAAAATTCAATCTAAAATCCGTGCCAACCACACTGTTTCACAGAGCAGTAATACAACTACTGGAAGCATCCCACTTGACTCTTCTCCTGATCATGCAAAATTGTCCTTGTCATGAAGGCTATCTCAATATTTCAGTGAACTTGATCAAAATTTTCTCAATATATTTGGGGGCCAATGTTTAAATTAAAGTTTTTCAACCATATATTTTCACCTATAAGGCAATTGTTATCAACCATCTAAGTTTGTAAATTTTTTGTGTGCCCGTTTATTTATTTTTCTGTAATTTCAATATCTCTTAAATTATGAAACAATTACGAATATCTTTCCAAAAAAATTAGATAAGTGTTATAAGTAGAGTAAACAAAAGTAAAAAATAAAAAAAGCACCCCATGTGCTAACCTTCATGTGTTTATTGACCATATAAATATTAGAATGAAATGAACTGGATAAAGTATCTTTTTTTAATCCTGATTCCAAAATAGTTTTACAGTGTACTTTCATCATTTTTTTTTAAATTTTTCGTTTTATTTACATTTCATGCAAAATAGTTTATCTTAAGTGTTCACCACATTTACTGTTTATTTTTCAAAATATGTTTTAGACAACATATTAGAGACTGGCTCACTTAAATTGGGGGCTACTTTTATTATTGTGATTCTACAATTTTTAAGCATAAGACTTCGGTTTAGTTGGGAACCACTCCTCTTATTGATGGTTTAGAATGTTGAGGTTTCATTTGCAGTGAAACCTTCTGTTACGGACACTTCTAACAAATGGACACCTCTCATTACAGACATATTTTTAATTTCCTGTTAATCTGCCATAAATAAACCATTATGCACCTTTTCCACAAAGCGGATATTCCCGTAACCGAACGTGGACAGACATTTATGCCCTGAAATGTTTTTTTTATACTTGCTTCAAACCGGACACCAATTTTTCTAAATTCAAAAAAAAAAATTATGCTTTAAATTCTGAGGGAAAAACATGCAATGTTAATTATTTGTATTATCTACTACTAAAGATATTATGAAGCTATTTCACCTCTAAAAAATTTATCATTCTCCTGTCACCTTCCTTTATTTTTACAAAGAAAGGAAGGAAAATGATACTGCTCTTGTGAAATATATTCTTTTCATATATTCTTTTTGTATTAAAAAAGTATTTTTTATAGTTTAAATAAATATCATTGCGAATAGTTATATATTATTATAGATTATTTAAATATTTCTATATCATTGCAACTATTCTAAAAAAAATTTTAGACGGTAAATTTCGTTGTTAGTGTATTCTTCACGTTAGCGAACAACTTGAGTAATCGGACAATTTTTTGTGTTCTAAGAGTGTCCGTTTTGCCGAGGTTTCACTATATTCTCAAATTAATACATAATTTGGTTCAAGAAAACTATAGTAATTTAAACCTTAATAAATTTTCCATCTCATTTGAGTAAAGGAAGTTGTTTAAAGAAGTGATTAACATACCTATTTTTCTATTTATTGAACTATATTTTAATTTTTACTCATGTTCTTGCTTTTGTTAATTTTTTTAAACTATGTTTAAACAAATTGCTTTTAATTTGTTATGAAATCTCTTTTACAACATTGATGATTGCAAGATTTTTCTAGAACTGCCAAGCACACATATTAATAGTTTTTTTCCTTTGAATTTTTCGGTTATACATATTTAATAATTTTCGGTAATATATATTTTTGTTTAGTGATCCAGCATATAATTTCATTGACAACATATATGGAGTGTAAATTAATTTTAAATCATGATATGCCATCAGGATATATAGTCTCCTCTGCTATGTTGTGGAAGCTTTTAAAATAGTTTGTTGGAATATGTTATAAAAATCATTTTTAATGACTGTTGAATCTGTGACTTTCAATTTGTTACTTATATTGTTGATGTTAAAGGAAAAGCATTTGGGATGTACACCTAGGACCCCACTATTGAGGGTTTCTAAGTCAATTTTTCTGATTTTATTTCAGATATCTCGTAATAATTTTGCAATATTTGTATTATGCGGACAATTTCTGTGCTAAGCTATTATGGTAAAACAATTTTTTGTTCAAAGTGTTCACTGTTAGTATATTATATCCATGAACTCAAACTTATTTATTATTTTTTCTTGCAATACATAGAGGTCCCAGAATCTATAAATCTGTCTCTGTTTACTATAATGCATTCATGCATGCAAAAACAAACTTGGTCCCTTATTATTAAATTGAATCGTTTTCTAAATATATTTTAATTTTTGTCCATATATTAATTTAAACATTTTAAAAAAATTTTTGTGGTTGTAGATATATTGTATAGTCAGTATAGTTAATTATACTTATTGGGAAATAGTTATAATATTTGTATTGTGTAATGTATCACATATTTTATTTGAAAAATGTGTTTTACTTTATTAAGTGAAGATTGTGCTCTATGACCTTTTTCGCCTTAACACAGGATGATTAAAATTTATATCCACTTATGTAAATTGATCATTTCTGTTGTTTGAGCTTTTTTTGTGTAGTAAAAGGTTTTTGCTTACTATTCGCTTTTATGAACCTCAGTCTATCTCTACACAGTTTGGCGAAACAAAAAAATCACAGTTGAACTAAAAAGTAGTTTTTTTTAATGTGTTTAGTCACCAACCATCATGGAGGAAAGTATTTCCTCTAAATAATAACAGGTATTAAATTTTCAAGAAAATTACCTGCTATTACAAAATCATAATTTGAATAAATCTATGGGCTCTATTGTTGAACTAGTCTATCTTGAATCTCACATGAAAGGGAAAAAAACAGGAGATACAGATTTTAAATGTGGTCAATAATGAAACATTTTAATTGTTTTTGCTGTAGAAAAAAACAGTGGAATGATTACATATTAATTATACCTACATACTTTCCTTTTTTCTTAAAAATAGTTTTATCTTTGAGGTGTAACTTTCCTTGCTTCATATAGACTTCTAATGGTTCCAAGAGCTGCAAGGTATGCTCTGTCTTCTGAAACATCTAACATATAATGAATGGTATTATATCCAGCAATAAAGGACTTTTCATGTTGTGAGGGGAATCATTTCTTTAAAAAAAGTCTTTTGAAGAAATGCTGACATTTAATTCTAATTTTATAAATAAATTTACTAGTGTTTAGAAATTATCAGCAGTTTCTCTTGCTTTTTTTTATATATACTTTCACTCTCACTGTTAGTTTTTTCCTCTTCACGGGTTTTTAGAAGTGTTTTCACAAAAGAACTTTATTGAAGCAATTTTCAAAACAGGCATATTATGTGTACTGCAATTATCTATGAATAAAATAATTGTTCCTTTTTCACTCCCATAGATTTGTTTAAGGATTTTAACCAATCTCTGAACATCTCACTTTTTATCCCAGCTTCTCTGTTGACTTCATACTTGCAAACGAAAGATTTAACTTTAGCCAAGCACCTAGATTTTGCTGAGTGTCCCATAAAGAAAGAAAGAGTTTTGCTAATTGATCTTCATTGGCAGCTAAGTACCTCAAACGAACTTAGTTTTGCAATCTTGAAACACTGCCACTTTCTTAGGTGAGCAATGATAACACAGTTCTGCTTCATTTGCATTGAAAATATCCTTTCACTAGAGCAGAGATTTTTTTTTGTTAATTCTAGACAGATACTTTCTGGTACACTTTCATCTCAAAGTTTGCAAAAATAATATTATGCCTATTTTACTATGTTCGATCTTTCCAGTGCTACTTTTTAAAAGTTCTCCATATCCAAATTCATTGACAAATTCTTTCGTTTTACTTTCCATTATTTGTCTACTCAAAGTGATTTCTTGGTCTTCGCATTTTGTAAACCATTTGTTGAGGCATTGTGAAAATTACATTTTTGACTTTTCTGACCTTCTCTTTGCTTAAAAACTTTTGCTATTAAATTTTTGATTACTTTTTTTTGTATCTAATTTCCATCCTAGAATTTTCATCATTTTGTCAATAGAAAATGAGATTTTATTTAAACCCCTATGCATGGTAAATACTTTCAAAATCGAATTTCCAAAAGTTTTAGAATAGACTTGCTTTTGAAAAACCACCACCACATAAGAAAGTCAATAAAATGGAAAGAGTTTCTGCTCCCCGAGTTTTGGCTTAAATAGGAAAAGTGAGCTCTGGTGCACTTTCAACAACCCCTCACTAATTGATGAAGTCTTCATGCTCTTCTTTTTTGCTTGGAGATTACTGGAATAGTGGTATGACTTGAATTTCAAGCAATACTCCCCTCACCAGTTCACACCAACTTCCTAGAGAGACATGGAATTTTTCCTGAAGAATGGTTGTCTTTGAGCATCGATTTCCGTAATTATATAACCGTAACTATGCACCAAAATGTGAGGTCGAGGTTTTAAAGGAAATTGTTTTGAAATAATTGAAGGTACATAAAAATAAATTAGTAGATGTAGGAAATTTCAGAAATTTTGAGATAATCAGGTTTGACTGCATCAGATTAACAGTTATACTTTTAAATGTTCCTGAAATAACTTTCATTATTTAAAAGTTCTTTAAACAATCATTATTATTTTGCTACCACTATGTAAAATCTTTTTCCCAACAACTCATTTTATTGCTAGTTCACAGCTATAGATATGTTAGTGTTTCTGAGTAAAACTAGAACATTTGAAAGAGTATAAAATAGAGTCAATACCAGATTATTTAAAGTAAGCTACAAAGCTGAGTTATATTATTTTTTAATTTGTTATTGCACATGAAAGGTGGAAAATGTTTAATCGTATTGTCCTATAATTAGGCTGATCAATATCTTAAAGACACTTCAATCAATTCCTATTATTGTAGACTTTTACATTCATGTTTATAACATATTGCTTAAAAAAATCTGTCTTGTGATAAATCAAGTGCCAATGATAATAATTGTGGTATGTGCTAAGAAGTAGTGGAGAAATGAATCAGATAACAAATTATGAAAAACTTGATGTGTTATATTACGGATAATTTTGTATAAAGAAAATGTATGTTAAAATTTTTATGTGAAGCAAATGCACAAAAATAATGTATTGAAGTCTAAATACATCCATATTTGTTACTCTATTTCTTTCAAAATACTTATATGTATAGAAAAAAATATTTTTCTCTGATGAGAATAATTTATAGTAAGTCGCTATTCAGCTATAGAGTATCAGAAATTATAAACTTCATTTAATTTTGACTTATATTTCAGCCCAGATATTTAATAAAATACTTTACTTAATTAATACATTTACTTCTGTTTCAATAATATCTTTGAGGATTTTTAAGATAAATAAGGCAGGTTCCATTATCCTTAACTCCCTTCCCCATGATTTTTCTTTCATTCTTCTCCTTTATTTTTAGTGAAACATAGTTATATTTTGCAACCTTGCACTTAATTTAACTGAATACTGCTAGATTAAGTGCTAGTCTTGCGCCATTAAGCTGTACATTCAACACAACCTACTTTATTCAGATGTCCTTTTATCTGTTATTTATGTTGTCGGAAAACTAGCTTTTTTCCTCTCTCCAACAAGAAAGAATTGTATTAAGAAGAAACTTCAGTACAAACTTGCCCAAATGTAAAAATTCTGTTTTAGTAATGAACTGCTTAAAAGAAACCAAGTAGTTCCGCATGTATTTAATTTTCTTTCACATTTTCTTCCATATAAATATTTAATAATTTTATTAATCTTATTCTATAAGTATTTTTCTTAAGAAAATAATGCAAAGCTTTTTTTAAAATTTTTTATAAATGGGCTAAAACATTTAATTTTGCAAGCTTCCGTTTAGGTGCAATCTGTCAAGTTCATGGTTTATCTCTAACTATAAATTGTTTGCTTATAAAAGCAGTCAACAATTTGTCTTGTTTAGCTTCCATACCACCAATATTAGAATGAATGTCACATCAATAAAAAAATATTTTGTAAAATTTACAATTTCTTGATTATCACTGATTGTTTCTTTATATTCTTCACTATAAAAGCATTAAATCTTTATTTTAGATATTCACAAGCCAATCACTCATCTGTTGTATGAAATTTCCATCAAACTTCTGTTGTTGTTGGAAATATATAGCAAGTATCATTTTTTTAAAGTTACTAACAGTATTTTCACTTCTATTAACTTCATATTTGTCTTGTACCACATATTTTTAACTTTTCTTTAATGAATGTCAACCAAATAAATGTCTTTATTTAGATGTATTGACATTAAACTTCTGTTATTGTTGTTGGAAATATGTAGCAAATACCATTTTTTTTTTAAATTAGCAACAGTATTTTCACCTCTATTAACTTCATATTTGTCTTGTGCCACATGCTTTTAACATTTTTATAAATTAATGTCAACCAAATAAATGTCTTTATTTAGATGTATTGGCACTGTTTTCAAAGCTTAACAGCCTATTGTAACTTTTTTAATGCATGCTTGTAAATCAAAATTAATTTTGTCTATTAGTTAAAAAGATTGCAATGTATATAGTCATCATTCAAGTGTTTATATGTATATATATAATTTTCTGAAAGAAAAATAAATCTACATGTATTTTTTGTGGTACTTTTACTAAAACTGGAAATAGTTCGGTAGTGGTTCATGAAAGAACTTGTAAAGTATTTAAATATGCTAACAAGATGTATTTTTGTGTGTAGTGTTATTTTACATATTCACTTTTTAATAAAATGTTTATTTAAATCATCCTAAACTTATTGCTTTTTGTTTCTGAATCTCATTCTTAGAATTTTTACGCTAGGAACCCAGGAAATTTTTTTCAATTATTAGTTGTACAATGCCTTAAATTTCTAATGAAAAATATTAAATATGTCTATAAACCGAGATGGGGCTAAGTTAAGAATGGGATTTCAACCTATCTCCTGTTATCTATCATGGCTTTTTTATATGTATCATCCAGACTTTAAAAACTTATTTTTGTAAAAAGTGTTTGTGAAATTGCAAATTATTGAAAGCATCTCAGCCCATTAATGCAGATAAATGTTTATAATTATACTTGGCATGGATTCAAATTTCTCTTCTTTACAGTTAATTTTTGCATAGAATCGAAATTTCAATAAATTTGTCAAGTTAGATTAAGATTACCACTGGTTTATCATTTCCTCTTAAACCTGAAAATATCAAAATTCCTGAAAAGCAGGGACCTTACAAGTATTCAATTAACTCTGAGTCATTAAGACAATTTTGATTTTTCTTTTCTTTACAGAAATAATTCAGGATTGCAACGCTTAATACGCCATCTAGGGTTAAAACCGGTTCCATGTCTTGACCCTCCCCCCTTCTCTTCTGCTTAGTTGTATTAGAGTGTATTATGATATTTATCCCCTCTCTAATTCGTGTCGCAACTCTCAAATACGCCATCTAGGTGGAAGACTGGTTCCATGTCTTGACCCTTCCCTCTCCTCCTTTTCTCAGTTGTATATGAATGTACTACGTTATTTTCCCCTTTCTTAATATTTTTCGTATTTACTTATCAAAAGTATTTTTTAAAGTTTCCACGGCGTTTTCTATTAGAACTATGTTCAATGTAGTTTCCAGTTCCTAAAGTTTCCTAACTTAAAAGTTTTTAATATATTTGAAAAATCAAGAAAGAAACTGATGTACTTCTTTTTCCTATGACTCTCTACACGCTAATGGATGGATGCCTGTAAAGTGTTGCCATAGGTAGAGAATTCTGCTTTAAGTCACCATTTCGATCGCCAATATTTTTCGCTTTTAATTCTCAAATATGTTTTCTAAAATTTCCACGATGCTTTTTTTAAGAGCTATGTTTTATGTAGATTTAAGTTTCATATAGCTCCTTTTCTTAAAAATTTTTAATCTTTTTGAAAATCAAGACATTAACTAACGTTTTTCCTTCTCCTATGACTATCCACACGCTAATAGTGGAAGCATGAGAAGTGTTGCCATAGGTATAGAGTTCTGCTCTGCGCTACCTGTAGCTTATTTTTATCGCCAATAGTATTTACCTATAAATCTAAGCATTTTAGAAATTTCGACACATATTCCATTCAACGATATTAATTCTAATAAAAAAAATAATAAAATGAAAAAAAAATTTAAATGTTCTTTTACATAATATTAGTTATTGGGAGCTATTGCTTGTATGTGAAAATTGATTAATTGGAAATCGAAGAGGCTAGAAAATGACAAATTCTGTGCTGGAAAATATATTCTCTTCAAAAATTTAAATGTTTTTATATATCTGTTGAATGTTTAAAGAATTTATGATCGTAATTCAAGATACCAAGTTTTAAAATGACCGTCGTTTAAATATTTTCCTAGTATTTTATATGGATAATCAGTTGGCTGAAACGAATTTATTTATGTTAGCCTGGCCACTGTGTGTTGAGGGTTAAAACACAAAAGTTTTTAAATGATTATTATGAGAGTCCAAGTGCAAATGAGTGAAAATTATTTATGTTTTATTTATGAAACAATTTGTTTACCACCTATTAGTTTGAAATATTCTAAATATACTATTAATGTCCTATTTTAATCAAATTCTACAAATTTGAATAAAGATCTTGGCAAATTAATAACTATGCAAATAGGCCACAAAAGTATACTTTTTGTTTAATAGTTGTCTCAATGCAGTGCTTATTGAACAATTACCACCAATTTTTTCGAGAGTAGTTTTTAAAAAAGACGTGATTTATGAATTTTTTGTATATTTTTTTAAGTAAAAAAAATTTTTTTAAGTGTATTAATAAAATTATTAAGGAAATAAAATTATTTCCATTAAGAATATGCAGCAATAATTAAAATTTGCATTTTGGAAAAAATGCTCGTTATCGCTTACCATGCCCTGGAATTTTTTACGAGGTTGACTTCAGATTGCTTTGCGAGTTGGGAGGGATTGCCTATAAAGTAGTAAAAAACAAAATGGGGTGAATTAATATTCTTTCGGAAAAAAACGTAACTTAACAATTTAATTGTTCCAAAAATAATTAAAAAAGTAAACAAATTAAGAATATTGTTCATTTTAGTAATTTTAATTAAGGTTTCGCTTTCAATTAAATATCTGTTTTTAAATTATTATTAAGTTCTTAATAAAAGAAAGCTTAAAATTGTTCATAATACTTGTTAAGAAATTAAAACAATACAAAAAAATTCAAAACCGTGCAAAAAAATTCAAAACACTATTCCAAAACCGTGTTGTTTTTAGAATTATCTGAAAAAAAAAAAATTCCCCCTTCTAATTTTAGGTTTTTCTTAATACTGAAATGTAAAAGTATATTAAAACATATTTGAACTGAAACTTATTTTGGAGCTGTACTTTGCATGTTAAACAAATAGTTTTGACATATTTTTTTTATCCTTTTCGAAATTATAAATAGAAATAATTATTATATTTAGCCTTAAGGAGACAAGAATGTGATTTTTTAATTTGTCCTCAATTGAAACGAGTCAANTCCTCTTTTTTTGGAGTTTATTTATATATATTATTTTAAGGGGTTAAACGTGGTCTCGTGTTCTTATCATGCATCCGAAGGTCGACAAATCAATCATCTTGTGACAAATTTCTAGAAAGTTAAAAGTTCAACTGACCATTCGATTGCGAGATGAGAGCACGGGATCTTAATCAACTTTTTAATTAACAAGTTTGACCACGAGAATTGTCACGAGGCAACGTCGTGACATTAGCCTTAAGGAGACAAGAATGTGATTTTTTTCATTTGTCCTCAATTGAAACGAGTCAATGATTTAATTTATCCCAGAATTGAAGTCTGTTTGTACAAAGGATTTTATTTGCTTGAAACAGTTCGAGACAATTAAACTACTATTTATTTAAACTGATTCTTTTATTTTGTTGAGAACGGCGGTAAGGGTGAGGAAAAGCTGGAAAAAAAGCCCCGTTTAACATTATACAATACTATTAATGCATTACTTCATATTATTATCATTTCAGTAATTGTAAGCAAAAAAAAAGTAAAGGGTGCGAAAAAATAAACTATCGAAATATGCTCTGAAGTATACTTAAAATGTACATAACTTGTAAATCTTTTATTTTTTGGAAGGGGAAAAAAATTTCGAGTGGAACAGAGACGTTAATTCGTTCGAAGTAATTGGCCTTGACTTAAATTGGTTTTAACATTGATTCCTGGGGAGAGGGGTCATTGTATTGTCTCATTCGATTTTTGGAACTTCAATTGTTGACGGAATTGTTTGTCACCCTTAAAAAATTGTTTTTAAGATTAGCAGCAAAAAAAAAATGTACTGCATTGATTTTTAAGATAGTTCTGACTAATTTTATATTATTATTCTTTCAATCGAAAAGCCATAACCCTTATCTTACGTATAACTTATTTTAATGCCGCATTTAGTATTTTAATTTAATGTATTTAATTACTAGCGCTCAAAAATTCACGTCACGAAGTCAATGTTTGGCGAACCTTGAGAATTGGTGCTTATTTTTAAGCGCTTGAAACATATAAACTTTTATTACCATCTTCATTTTTCGAAGTATATGTTTCGTGCGCTCAAAAATTGGCACCCATTCTCAAGATTCGACAAAAGTGACTGAGAATAACAAAAGAAGTCTGATAAAAATGTGAAGTTTCTAAAGAAAAAGTGAAAAACAGCCGAGAGTGTAACAGAGAATGAATATGTTGCCAGCAGAACATTGGCTACATCGGACATAACAGACGCGCATTAAAATTTTGACTAAAGGAAGATGGTAGATAAGTCCGTAATCAAGAATGTGATTAATCATCTATTGACGCATACTCTTAGAATCTAGGGGATCAATTCAATACCTTGTCGACCTTAGTTGCGTATGACAAAACAGGCGTGGTTCAGAATTTTGACTAAAAGAGCACAATTGATATGTCCATTATCAAAATTGCGGTAAATCATCTATTGCCGCGCATTATTGGAACACTATTGAAGTTATCTTTGGCTACAAAAATAAAATTTCAAAACATAAGATTTTGTTACCAGATATTTGGCGTTATTGAGACTGATTATTGAATAGTGCTAAAAAAAAAACGAAATACATTTATCTTCGTAGTTTTGCTGCCACCATCTCAGTTTTTTAAGGACCATAAGAGCTCTGTTTAAAAGGAGTCTATCGTATCAGATATATTTACGTGTTGATGATAAGAATTGGAAAAGTTTTTAATAAAGGGAATTGAGCAACTAAATTATAAAAGTGATATTTGATGATACATATGGCTGATCGTAATTGAAAAAAAATATTGATTGACATTTTAGGAATTTTACATTTTGCGAATTTGCAAAAATCCGTTCAAATTGTATAAAAACAGTAGGATGCTATAAGCAAACTATCTTTATCCTAAGAACGATCGTTCAAAATATGCCAATTAGCATAAGAAAATCTGCTGTTTTAGAGGGAAAAACTAAAGCTTTAAATTTACTACTCTGATTACAGTCAGAACAACTTTTACATCTATACAAATAACTCCCTCTTGATTTCATAATAACATTTGGCCCATCTGGAGAGAATACCTTTCGAGAAAACGTAATAAAATTTTGGATATAAAAGTATGCGATGAAAAATAAAAGCCATTTCCTAGTATTTAAATATCATTTTGAACTCTTATCACATTCTATAGTCAACAGTATCTCTCACCTCACAACTTCACAAATTCCGTTTCAGGATTCCTCATAGTTTGAAACCCCCCTATCCATTCGTCTGGACCTGTGGGTGACTATGGTAACGAGGTATAA